CTCATATTTCCCGTAGTAAGTTGTAACTCGACACTATCGTGGCTAGGTTGGAAATGAATGAAAGCAAGCAATTGTCAGGATTAAAGGATTCTCCTGCCTCTAATTGTAGTGTTAGAAGACGTGGATTTTTCATATGTAGCTGAACCCTACATCCGAGTATATAAGTTGTATTTTGGTCAAGGAAATCAATGCCAATAGATAGGGGTTCGCACTTCGCGATTTGAAATTCAAAGTTGTAGGTAGACCATCTCCAAGATCAAGAGTTAACAAACGAGTCCCATACCATGGTATTCTTCGTACCATTGATGGCATAAAGGAATGACTAAGTGGTTTCTTTATAGGTTATAAAATCAGCTGGAATAATTGAAAGAAATGACCCAGAATCGACAAGAAATCGACGTCGACTCGATTCATCAATTATGTACATAAGAGAAGTTGGTTGTTGCCATGCTGAGTTTGATGTTGCACAGATTCTTTCGGGTTTTCGACAACTTTGACCCGATCTTAGTGAAAATTTTGAGGAGCCATGGCACATCCTACACCTTTGCATTTGTAAGCTTTGTCGCCAAAAGTCGCGTGATAGTAACAGAGATTGGGGTCCGTGTTTTGTTGAGAAATGTTCATTGGCGGTTCATTATTGTGTCGAAAAGGCGGACCGTGAAGTTCCGGGGGTGGACCACTATATTGGCGATCGCGTCTAGGCGGTCCTCTCAAATTGGTGTATTTTTGAGGTGGTCTGTCCTGGTAATCATTGCCTCTCTGCTGACGGTTGTAATTTGAGCGGTAGGTTTGCTGTTTTTCCTGTGTAACCTTGTCTAACTGAGTTTTAAGCTGTTTCATCTCTGCCAACAACTCTGAATAAGCTCTTGCTTCAGATTGTGGTGTTGTTTTAGAAATAGTAGCAACGCCTGATGCGGAATTTGTATCCCAGAATGTTTCTGCCATGTCTACAATTTGACTCATGGAGCGTTTTGTTCCACTTTTTGCAAAAAGTCGCCTTACGAAAATCGCCACTGGTTCTGGTACAAGTTGAACAAAATAAAACCGTAATATTTGCTCCGGAATCGGGTTTTTTTGAAGCGTGAAAATCTAGTGTACGACAAATTAAAGCTGTATATTTGGGTAGATGTCATATTCTTGCATTTAGGGCCTAACGCCTTCGATTTGGTCGATGAAATTCAACTCGAAAATTTGTTTGATAGCGTCAATAAAGTTATCATAATCATCCTTCGTTATTTTAGTGTCTCGATCTGGCATAAACTCCTCCATTCTAGCATACTGGTCTGGCGTGAAACTCTGAATTACATATTTGAGTTTAAAATCAGGATCGACGATTCCGAAATATGTGAATGAAGCAGTAATATTATCAAATCCATTGCCTGACAGCGTGCTCCCAAATAGGCTCGCGTTTGTTCGAGGTCAAAATTTTATATAGTTATCAGGCAACATAACCGTCTCCGTATTCGAAGAGGTGGAAGAACTGGATGAGCGCGGTGTAGGGTTCTCAGAACTGACATTCTCTGTAGTTATTGAAGATGTAGAAGAGCTTGATGATCCTGGTGTAGTGTTCTCAGAAGAGATATGTTCTGTAGTTGTAGGCGAAGATGTCATTGTGCACTGTGTGGTTTTGCGTGGACGAATTTTAGTAGTTTGTATTGCTACACTTACCCTTTGTGGTTGAGTTTTAAGTGAGGTTGAATCAGAGCGTCTGCTTTCTGAATCTTGCTTTTGTTTAAGGCGTTGCGACTGTCTGGTACTTGACATGCGTAATACTAAAATCTAGCGGCGACGGAACGCAACGAACGCATAAAGTGTGTATCTGGCATTCCTATATAAAAATTACACATTACAGTAAAAAAACAATATATAATGTTCGTTTGAATCCTTTGTCCGTGAAAACGTCTCGAGAATAAATATGAAAAGGTATTTACTTGGAAAGGCTGCTGTCTTCATTGTTGAATTCCTGAATTGCCATCATGAAGTTGATTTTCCAGTTGTTGAATTGATTTTTCCAACTTGTTGAATTGAATTTCCAAGCGGTTGCGTGTCTTTACACGTCGGAGGTCACCAAAATATAGGGATAAAGAGATGAGATGGATTTTAGGGATATTGACTATCACCCTATATGTTTAAGTTCGATTCCCGCGTTATTGTTTTGACACGCGTTATGGAATGTGACTCCAATCTGGACTCCTTCAGACGATAATAAGCACACAGTGTTGATGCTAATCGTTGTTGTATATTATAGGAAGATGCACAATCCAAATTCCGAAATCAGATAAAATTGAGACACACTTAACTCTTAACACAGTAAATCAGGAGTGAATCAAAACACATCACACTTAACGCAGTAAAACAGAAGTGGATCTACACACAATATTATGCAGCCCTCTCGGCAAGCCGGAACGATACGTCATCAAATTGGTCGATACGAGAAAGGTAGTACATGTAATCAGTAATCAGTGTTGCTACAATAAAATGACCTATTGTGGGAAATGGAACACACTATTAAAATGAAAGGGTTAAATACATTATAATTCATAGTTACACAATGCACATTCGCTACACTGTTATATTTACGGTTATAGACTAGGCTAAAATTATGGTACTTTAAAAAAAAATTGTTGTATGCGATGATTCATAATTATGGTTTGAAACACATACCCCATTTTACAGGTGCCAATTCGCAAAAGCACTCTCAAAATAGCCCTGAAAATTTTGCAATGGTAAAGTATAAGAAAAAATTTTCGGGGGTCAAAGGTCGGGGAAAGATCCATTGACTGTTGACTCCGTAAATTCTTTACCACGCTTCAGTAACGTTGCCATGGATATTCACCGCCGGGCGACCTTGTGGCCTGATCTTTGGATTGTCGCTTATGCTTGTCATTGTTGCAATTTAACTATTTCATGAATTGGAAGTTTTGAGGTAGATGTAGGCCTTGATGCTATATCAGGGGTTCCCAAGCTTTTATCAGGACGACCCCAAAGACAACTTTCAAGTGACCAGTGCGACCCCAGGTCAATATATATATTTTTCATGAAACTTTAGAGCTTCTTTTACTGGACTTTTGAGTTTGGTCTTGTGGTGGTATTAAGTAAAATAAGCTAAAATCAAACAAAGATGTCACAATAAGCACTTACATTTTCTATAGCATAAGCATAGAGCGTTGCCTATGGACCTGTTTTACAGTGAGCCAATGGTACAAACTGCTAAATTTAACATGGTTTGTCAAATCTTAGATGTTTTGTACATCCATCCTCTACTATTCCTCAGCGACCCCACCGACCCCATGACCTGTTTGCGACCCTACCTACTTAACACTCCGATCCAATTTGGGGTCGCGACCCCTGGTTTGGGAACCCCTGTGCTATATAGTCGGAAGAAATTTGTTTATACCTATATCTTCCAATGTTGATACAGAAATCATCAATTTTCTGAACAGGAAGAATTCAGGTATTACCTAGTTTGCCGCTAAATGTCAACCGAAAATATAAACAAAAAAGCGAGCAGTATGAAAGGCAGCGATTAAATTAGTTAACAATTTTAGCTACATTAATCAATTTACTTATACTAAAGAGTTTAGTTGCCAATATAAGTCAATACGTAAGCAAATTAACAAACATACAAGGGAAAAAGTACCGTATTTTCTCGACTATACGCCTATCACGCGGATAAGCCGACTCCCTAATAACAGCTTCCAAATAGTGAATTTATAAAAATTTGCATATACGCCGTTTCCACAAATCGTAATACGGCGCACGCATCTAATACAGTCAATGATGTTCAATTCAAATATCGCGATTCGCTACCTTCTTGTATATGGCACACACATTCTAGCGCCGCTGTCCACATTTTGATTAAAACAATTTTCGATTATTATATTTTCTGTTTTATCGTAATGGAAGACAGCACTTTGCGGCACAACTTAATTACTGCCAACATGAAAGGAATTAAATCAGCGCCGACTTGAAGTACCAAACGTATAACATGAGGACATTTTTGATTGAAAATATTTTACATTGAAAATATTTTACAATCATTATTTTATATTAAGGTAGTCGAGATATCCTGAGCGGACACGGCAATAAATTTGGTTATTTTTCGCAAGTCTTCTCAAACATGATTTGTGTCGTGTGAGCTTCATATATTATATGGGCTGATATATTTTATAATGATGCCAAAATGTCTGCCGATTATTTAATTGACTTTGTATACCAGCTGTTATTTGTCTTAATCCTAAAAACAAAAAGTGGCCGTGCAATGAATCACTCCCTGCCCGATAACGGCACTTCAGAAAGAAAACGGCTACCACCAAATAAAGTGATTGATTTATGACCCTTCCGTTTTGCTGATTCAGGAAAAAACGGAAAACACAGCTGTTGCCTAACCCATGGAGGTACAGCACAGTATTTATCACATCATATTCATAGGTTATTTCAACCTTTCAGTTACCGTAAATGATTGTTCAAAATGATTGAAATTAAAGTTTTATTGTTAAGAATTAATGCTGTGAGTATTATTCTACCTGAAACTTCTATCTGATTCTTACTTGTGCACAAATGATAACGTTTTGACCACGAGAGGGCTGGTAGATCAATGCTGTTGCTTTTATGCGAAAGAGACAATTAAATTTAATCAAATACAAGCGGTCACGTTTATGATCAGCCAATCACACCTAGACAAGCGATCGCGTGTGTGGTGTGTGTGTGCACGCTCTTTATCGTGAGAATTAAGCATGGTCTGTAGCTGTTGCAATTACCGGCAAGTCAGCATTATATCATTTCGTTGCGTGATCAAAGTCTCGATGCGCGAAGGAGCCGATTTTTTGGTGCTATCTGAGTTATGCGCGCATAAGACGGTCCCTTAGTTGGGCAACTTTTTTTTTGAGTTTTAAACTCGGCGTATTTGCGAATAAATACGGTAATTGTTCGTCCAGATCAGAAGCGCCAAGTCAAAATAAAAAATACAAATCTATCTTTCTAACTTTTTTGCAGCCTGGCAGCCTGGGATAAATATGAAAATCCTGTCCTAATTATTGTTATTGACTTATAGATTATAAATACAATTTTGAATTCTTCACTTGTTACTTATTACTATATTAAACGCAAATGGGTTGTGGCAACTCAAAACCTGGAGACGTTGCTCCTAGAACAACAACAACAGGAGGAGGAGGAGGAGGTAGAAATAATTTTTTCTGCATTATATTTTCTATGAATTATAGTGATTTAATTTCAATGTTTTTTATTTTAGGTGGAAAAGGCAAGAAAGGAAAGAGTGCGCCGGTGTAAGTGTAAAATATTTTTATCTAGAAACTTTTTGCAAATTTTCTCATTGTGTGAACTGTCCTGAAACATTATTGTACTGCAAAATATATTTATTCAGAAAATTTGAAGAATATACAAAGCAAAAATGGTAGATTAGATGGATTTTATCGTTCTATTAGAATATGAATTGTCTAGCCTCATTATGTTATTAAGTAGTATATTGGAACTTTACAAGATTTCGGTATAAATCATCTTGGTTTCGGGGATTAGATCATGGTGGGGTTTAGTCGTGTCAATGTTGGGGAGGCTCAAGTGATTGAGTCATCTAAATGGGACCTCCTGAAGTATGCGCACCAAGATGGCGCACAACCTGAACTCAGATTGTGTACCAGGTTAGGGTTCAGGTTGTGTGACATCTTGGTGCACATACTTCAGGAGCACCTCTAAATGAAATGACTCATACTCGTACTCAACTAACTGCCAGTGATACTTAGCTCAGATACTTAGATTTGATTTGCAACTCGGGACTTTTACCCAACTCTGGTCTTCTGTAGCATTTGAACTCTTTCCTCTAATGATCTATAACAGGGGTGTGCAACCTTTTTCACCGGCGGGCCAAATTCAAGTAACTGGGTGAAGCCGCGGGTTGCACCTTTATTTAATATAGACTTTCTCGTAATAACCGATACAAAAATTGTTTATTTTTGCTAGTTATCTTACGGCAATATTAGGGTTTCTTGCAGAAATAGTGAGTTGAACGCAAACTTGTGTCACTGATATTAGTGCTCTCATCCAATGCCAGACTGAAAGCTTCACACGATTTCAATCTCTCTTTCAACTTTTTTTGATATCATCTGAAAGATCATTTGTTCGGCGTGAAACAGTAAAACGGGAAAGGCTGGTTTGCTCCACCAAATGTTTTTTCTCTGGGCATGCATATTCTGTGAATATTGTCAAACAGTTTTTAATAAATTCTCCGTCACTGAAAGGCTTTCCCTTTTCTGCCATACATTCACAAAGTTTAAAACTTAACTTTGTCACCAGTCTGAGTCCTTCTTGTAAGTGGTAAAAACACTTTGTTGTTTTTCAATGGATTTTTTTAAATGTTCCATTTTGTCTACTCGTGCCTGGCCAAGAATTTTATCAAACTGGGAGGAGTGCTCAGTTATGTAATGACGTTTAACATTATACTCTTTGATAACTGCAATAGTACTTTGACAAACGAGGCAGACAGCACATTGGTTGTGTGGGACAACAAAATATTTTGTACACCATTCACTGTTGAATCCTTTCTTCTTTGTCAATTTTATGCTTCGCAGCTGCCAACATCTTACTAGCTCTGAAATAATCAGAAAAATATTACCCTCACAAAACTAGCAAAATTGGCTACTGAACTGCTTCAAATTCTTGAAAGCTAGCGACTGGAAAGTGTCTAGCAATCACTATGAGGGATTCACAATGTATTGTTGTAAACAAGCGAATCAAGTGAAAAAGCAATGGCGGCTAAGAACAATTCCTGGCTAGTGAGATAACACATTTTATCTATAAACGTAATCTGCTAGACAGGGCTTATAACTGAACGAGTCTAAACCACAAATCCAAAGAATGCTTACGTCACGTACTGTCATAATCAAATTACTGTTTGTTTCTATCTAAGCTACTAAAAAGATACACAAGGTCTTGATCGTCAGGTCTAATTAAACTGTCGGATTGGGATTTTATGCTTGATGGGTAAAAATCAAGAGTATTGACAAAGGCCACACTAAATGGCTTGGCGGGCCGGGTTGTGGCCCGCGGGCCGCCTGTTGCACACCCCTGATCTATAACTTTACAGCATTGGCAACAACTGTTGGAAATTATTCAGATACTGCAGTTTCACCTGATGCATCATGGGTTGTAGGAGTAATTAAATGGAAGTTGAGTTGTAGGCCATAATCTTATATAAAAGTATTTTGATTTTTTGTAGTCAAATCATTACTGTTATTATTATTGCTATTTATTTTTGTATTTTTATGTATTTCAGATCCACCCCACCAAACTATCCAGATCTCTCAAAGCATAACAATCACATGGCAAAATGTTTGACTCCTGAGATCTATGCCAACCTCTGTAACAAAACTACTCCTGGTGGATTTACTCTTGATGAGTGCATTCAAACAGGTTGGGAAATTAGAAAAGGAGTACATATTGGTATTTTTGGATCGAAACGTACTGATATCATTTTATCGGAATTTAGAATGTACACATAGGAATTAGCGCACCACAGTTAGTTTTGTACAAATCAGTGAATATTTATCTCTGGTTTTAAAACTTTTAATTGTGGGGACTAAGTAACAACCTATTGAATAGATCACTGTTTACAGATGATTTCAGTAACTTGATATTTTACATCTTGGGTCTTTAAGCGCTTTCGAATGCCTAAAACTTTTGTCAGACTATGTTGGCACTTCAGATTACAAACTCCACATTAGATACCAGAATATCCTAGTTGTTAAATCAGATCTGCACCTTACCCAGGGTGTAATAAATTGAGTAGACTACCCCCGCCCGAATCGGAAGAATTGCTGTCCTTCCAGGCTTAGTACCCTATTTTTTATGTTGGGGGTTATATGGAGTGAATATTTGAAAGACCAAAAAAATTTTTTAAGAATTTTTTGTGTATAACAGCAGCTGGATTTTTCTCGTTTTCTGTGTAACATATTAATGAATTTTGATAAGTCCACGTACCTGGAATGTTAATCTGATAAATTAATTATTCATTTCCACATCTGATCTGAACTAATAAACAAATGAGGGGGTTATTGTGTGCCATATGATTAGACTATCCATCTCATTCATTTTCCTCCTACTGGAATAAATTTATATTCTACATATCTAAATGATTAGAGCACTTTATATATAGAAATATTTTTTGTTTTTTTGTTTAGGTGTTGATAATCCTGGACATCCATTTATTATGACTGTTGGTGCTGTAGCTGGAGATGAAGAATGCTATGATGTGTTTTCTGAATTATTCGATAAAATCATCAGTGCAAGACATGGGGGATATGGTAAGATATCTGAACATAATAAATAATTTTCTTCCTAATTTTCTTTTAATGAAGTCTTTCATGCTTCATATTTTTTACTATTTATATATAGACATGCAAGGTAATGTTCATGTAGATTATTTTCTGGAAGATTTTGTCAGAATGAGCTTAAAATACAATGTTTATTCAACTATTCGTCATCTACAGCTTAACAGGTTCTGAGTCTACTGGAATATACTACGTGTTTTACATGATGTGAAAGTTTACTCATGGTTAGAGTGGTGGACATGATTTAGATTGAATAATTATGGTTAAGAGTTAACCCTTTGCCCACCCAGGGTTGTAATGAATTAGGCGAGCAATTTTAAATCAGAAAGATTCCATTTTTTTCAGAAACAGTGGCTGCTTGTACAGAGCCTCTTTTGGAGTGAAGGCGTGAAAATTCCCTGTAAAAAATTGTCTTTGTAACTGCAAATGCCCAATAAATTGAGCTGATACATAATTTCGAACCATATTCGTAAAAACTTTTTTTATTTCATATATTCATTCAACAGACATCCACCAAAAACATCCTACTGATTTGGACCCCAACAAACTCGTAGGTGGAGAACTGGATCCTGATTATGTCTTGTCATCACGAGTACGAACTGGACGTAGCATTGCAGGACTTGCTCTTCCACCCAAGTGCACCAGAGCTGAGAGAAGAGAGGTAGATAATTAATTCTTATAATTTAATCTAAATTACAAATTTGACACCACAATAGATTTTCTCACTTCAACTTATGGCCAGTTCCAGATTCACCATGCCTCTTATCCACTAACTGTCTATTATAGCAGACTTCTCTATTTAGTCCATATTGTAAAGTAAAAACTTTTCAATAATGCAATTTCTCTCTTAATTGTATTTTTTATGCAAGTTGCAAAGCATACACAGGAAGTGAATAAATTTTTTGTAGCTCTATTCCAAATATCTTTTATATGAATTTTTCATTTAATATGCGGGAAAACCATGTCATAGAATCTAGAATGATTCAAAATATGTTATGCTACTTGTTTCAAATATAAATATTTTAATTATTTGGACTTAATTATCTGAAAATAGAATGTGGATATAATAGATATTGACTACTTTTCCAGGTTGAAAAGATTCTATGTGATGCATTGTCTTCGCTGGATGGAGCATTGGCAGGAAAATATTATCCTCTCACTGGTATGACTGACGAAACACAAGATCAATTGATTGCCGATCATTTTCTGTTTGACAAACCAGTGTCTCCTCTTCTCACTGCCTCAAAGATGGCAAGAGATTGGCCTGATGCAAGAGGAATTTGGTATGTTGCACAAACCTAATTTTATTTATTCATATGGTACAGATGTTGAAGTGCCTGATGCACAAAACAATCTCTGTTATTCATTCTTTATGATTTGGCCCTTGTGTATTTTGCCCCTGTAAACAAAATTTCACAAACAAAGCACTGATGTATACGTGGTGTAAGACTCATCAATGAAATGTTCTGTTGTTAATGCTCGCTTGATGTGCAAAAACAAGATTTTGGGAGGTTATTTATGGTTTTAGTAGGTTTTTGACGGTTTCGATGGACGACTTTCTCCAACATCGAGTTCGCGCGTCTGAACTAAAATAACTCGTTAACTATTCACGTACCAGACCTGAATTGGTACAAGAGGCTGAGATTTAACAAATGATCAAGTTAAATTATTGACTTTCCTTTCAACTAGTTTTTCCCATCTTTATATATAATCTCGTCTTGATAAATTCTACATTTCATAAAAACTATCATATGAGACATATTTCTGGACTTGCTGTGAATAAATTTTAAAATATTTTCAGGCATAACGAAGAGAAAAACTTTTTGATCTGGGTGAATGAAGAAGACCACAGTAGAGTTATATCAATGGAAAAAGGTGGAAACATGAGAAGAGTTTTCGCCAGATTTTGTGAAGGTTTGAACAAGGTAGAAAAGGCTATCAAGGGTAAAGGATTCAACTTCATGTGGAATGATCATCTTGGCTATATTTTGACTTGCCCATCCAACCTTGGCACTGGTTTGAGAGGAGGAGTGCATTTAAAGGTAATGCAAAGAATATGTGAAATAGAATTTGGTATTATTGCGTAATGCCCTTGGGCCCTATATATGATTTGATCCATAATATTATTACTATCAGATAAAAATGATAGACTCTTTAACTGCAAAGCGACATTTGAATTTTGAAAAATTTAATTTTGTAGATATCATAATGGATGAACTTAACATTGTATCATTTTATAACATTTCATTTGACAAGAACACTATTTGTTGAAAATCAAAATAATTAATACAACATTTTTTCCTTTGATTATTTCACCACATTTACGGCAAATATTCACTAAATTTCTGTTACAATGTTTTGGACAATTTAATGTTTTATGATTTAAATATTTGCTAATTCCCCCCTCTGTTTGACCTGGACACGTTGGCAGTATTTGAACAATCATATCAGTCAGTTACTGTTGTATTAATGCAGTCATAGCTACTGTACCTTGAATCACATATTGCCTCATAGCCTACTCCTTTTTATTTAATAAATGTTCTGTTTGTTTAGCAACATGAAATTCAAAGATGAGGTATTATATCAAGCAGGTAAACTTATGGTGATGGGCAACATGCATGCTTTATGTTATTTCCTTCATCTTGCATGAACAAGTATTATGGTGATATGGTTCTGTGATGCAAGACAATTCCAGGCTGGCCAAGCATGTTCTGTTTTAAATTCTTTTAAAACTCGTTTATTTTTAAAAAGATAGTCAGTGTATGCGATGCAGGGAGAAAATTCATTTTGGATTTTAAATTAGGTGTACTCAGAAACTTTTTTATAGTCCTGTAATAGAGATTAATGCAATTTTTAATTTCAAAATTGCAATGTAATCGCAAAATTTCGTTATGGCAATAATTGTATTGCATATTATATTATTTTGTAATACTCAAATGCAGAAAATGTATGGTTGTTGTATGTGTCCAGTTTTGTCACAGTTTTGAATGTTCAATGTACTAGAACATTTTGAATATCATTATAATCGTATATTTGAGATGTTAAAAATTTTGCGACTGCAAATTCCTAAATTTCCAGCATTTAACAATGGAAGAAAAGTCGGTTTATCGCCATTTTGGTTAATCAAGTTAATTTTCCTATTTTCCCAACGGTGGAAGAAATTTCATTTTTCTGTCTGTGATTAAAAAAATAGTAATTTACTTTTGTACAATTTGGCATGAGAACTATCAGTATCACCTAAATTTTCAATGGCAGAGCATGCTCACAAAGTCTAAAATGGAATGTTCCTTCGTTTTTTTAGTCTAAAATTATACAACTATTATTGCATGAATGAATGTTACCTACCTTTTATTTCAGTGGTGTTGGCATGTATGTATGTATATAACCATTTGTTATTCCCCTAGATTACGGGAATATTGGGAAACATGGGCTGGGATAGAATGCTTTGCAGTTGAATTCCGGAATAGTCTTGTCTTTATGTTGGCTTTAATTTTGCACATTTCTCTGTTTTCTTCTGAATATTTTTAAATGTCTGTCTGGATACGTAAAATTGCATGTTAAATCTTGTGAATTGCCAAGACAATTTAAATTATTATGAACCTTATATACTATGCACCCATATCTATCAGGAAAGGTAGAAAAAACGCCAGGGATTTTTTTTGGGGGGGATTAAATTAAATTATCTCCTAATTGCAATCTGTGAAGATGTTTTGTGGATGAAGACTGACTGTCTTTGTCAAATAATGAGACAATAATGTAGTGTATAATGTGTCACACTCGGTAGCTGTTGGAACAAGTGTAGATAGTTTCAGATTAAAATGGGATCTCCAACTAGTATGAAATAGTGTATGTAGCCCACATGACAATTTTCATAGATTTATGTATTGGAACAATATTTCACATTGACAACGTATTGTTTTTTTGAATTATTGATGTGAAGGTTGTTACCTATTTGTTTGAATTGAGCAATGTGTCAGTGTTGTGTATTCAAACTGTTGTACAGATCGAATCACTTTATACATCAGTTCCAATGCCAATATGGGCGGCCAAATAGCCTTATATGGAGGAGGCTATTCAAAATTCAAATTTATCCATCTCTGTTTCTGAATAGAGTGAGACTCTTTTCCAAATATCGAAAAATTCACTTCAAAGTGTGCCAAATGGTAAAAAGTTGAATGTCAATATCTTATTAAATTATAATTTTAGATTCCTCATATCAGCAAACATGAGAAATTTGACTCAATTTTATCAACTTTACGTTTACAAAAACGTGGAACCGGGGGCGTTGATACAGCATCTGAAGGAGGAATCTTTGATATTTCTAATTCTGACAGGTAATGCTGATAAAATCCTTTGCCCAAATTAAAGGTACAAGCGCCCAAATATAGAATATAATCGCTTGCCACAGATCAATCACACATGTACAGTAGAATATAATTCTTTCATAAAGAAAATTAATCATTGATGCACTCACGTAAACTGATGTTCAGTTATGATATCCTCCACCGTCTTAGTCTATGCATATGAAAATACTAAATTAACTATTCCCATATTTGACCTGAACTGGCAACTGGACTTGAGGTCATGAATCGCCATATGATAAAGCATCTTTATTATTCATTGTGATAATTAGGAAAAATTCAATCTGTTGAAGGATTTTGTTAATAGATCTAATTCTAATATTTTCATCTTTTTTTTTCGAGTGATTCTATGAACTGAAGGTAAAGTCAATTCTTCCTGATTATCTGAAAATCTTCAATACAAGACTCTATGAAAAAAGTTTAGCTTATTTGAAGCAAAAATTTTATACATTTTTCAGGCTTGGCACATCAGAAGTTGAGCAAGTACAATGTGTTGTTGATGGAGTCAATCTACTCATCCAAATGGAAAAAAGATTGGAAGCTGGTGAGTCCTATAACAACAACTATCTTGTTGGATATATTAATATATATTTTTATTGGCGCTCTAGAAGTATGCGTATCAATATTTTGCCTAATCTACATCAAGTTGTGTAAAGGCCTAAAACCTATGAGCAAGAGGATATTCACTTGGCTAACGCAGACAGCCTCAAACTTGTAATAGAACCAAAATAAGGAAAATCGGAATAAAACTATGTCCAACTCCAACCTGGTACATATACTACGGGAGTACCTTTTTATTATATATTATACTTGTCATTTTTTATTTATTTTTTTGTATTTTTCTTGAGTATGATCAGATTATCAAGATGTTCAGTTTGTGCTATTCCAAGCTTCAATGACCTTGTAATGTATATTCTTTTCCACTTGTATCTTATTCATTATTTGAAGGTTGCTGGTACATACTATGTCTTTCAACCTGGAGTCAGGAGTTGAAGTCAGATTGGTGTGAAATTTTTCTCGGCTTCACAGCTGGGATTTTCATGTTCCATTCATAAACTCACCGTTCTTATAAGCCATATGATCAAGTCATTTTATCAGTCACCCATACATTTGTCTTATCTCAACCACTTGTTTGTGTCTTCTTGATACTGAACAAAGAATTGAATTTACTAATAATATGCCATAGGTCAAGATATTGATGATCTTTTGCCCAAAAAAGAGAGAAAAATTGATGAGAACATGCCTAATCTTTCAAAACATAATAACTGGATGTCGAAATGTATCACCCCAGAGATTTACATCAAACTGAAAGATAAGCAAACTCCAAGTGGATATACACTCGATCAATGTATACAAACAGGTGAGTTTATTCTAATTTAAAAAATGTGCAAACAACAGGCATTCTTGATTTGCTTGTGATCCTGATTCTACCAGTGGCTTCTTGTTCAGGCCTTTGTTTGGGCTGAAGGTTGTGAAATTCTTTACAAAAATTTCATTTTTTTATTTGCAGTTCATTCCTGCATTTTCCTAATGGGTTGACAATCTGATGTACACAATGAAATTAAAATTGGTTTTATCATAGTCTCTCCCTCCTATTTTTTATTTCAAATTTAGAATTCAAATGACCATAAGGTCAAACTAACTAAATATTAAGATGTCCAATTTGATTGTTTTAATTTTGCATATACCGGTAGATCATAATGTGTGGTATATTATACTCTTTTAATCCAAATTCAGGTGTTGATAATCCTGGCCATCCATTCATCATGACTGTAGGATTAGTAGCAGGTGATGAAGAAACCTATTCTACATTCGCTGAGTTGTTTGATCCAGTCATCAGTGCAAGACATGGAGGGTATGTTGTACCTTGTATGGTATTTTGATACACGGTGACTCGAAGAAACAGAGCCCATGAATTTCTTGCTTACACAAAAGTTATGTTCTTTTTAGAATATGCTTCAATGGCCTGGGTTCTTTTTTGGGAGTCGAATTTGTTGATCAAATGATCTTACTTCATACTTATGTTCTCATTTAGATACCAGTCCAACGCAAAACATCCAACAGATCTGAATCCAGAACACCTGAAAGGAGGAGACAATCTTGATCCAAAATATGTTTTGTCATCAAGAGTTAGAACAGGTTTGTAAGATTTCAAATCACAGCATAATTATACTGACAAAAATAACCCTACTTTGCAATTACTTCAAAATATAAGGAGTTTTTGAATGCTTGATATATAACGAAATGATATTTAAGTTGACCATATAGTCGTAGAATTTCTAAACCGGGAAAGAGGAAATTTGCAGATCTTTTGATGTTATTACTTATCGATCTTACGATCGGTAAGTATGTTGATAGGTATTTGTACGTGTGTATGTCTGTGTGTTAGATGCACGCGATATCTCACGGAAGCGAGGTTGAATCTGCTCCAAATTTTGCATGTGCATTCATCATATCTCGGACCAGTAGCCTATTGATTTTGGATGAATTATGTCGTATAATTAGCGAGTTATTAGTTAATTAGTGATGAAGAGATCTGGATATTCACAAAGCGAGAGATTTTCGAGACACGCTGAATGTGTGTGTGCGTGTCCGATGCGCAAGTTTTCACGCTAGTGAGTCAGAGCGAAGAATACACAACGCTAGATCGTATCTCGTGATTAATCTTTAAGCATTGTCCATATCTCTCTTGTAACGTTGACGTCGTCGCGATGCGCAAGTTTCCTTCGAGAAATTTTCCACGCTATTGAGTCAGAGCGAAGGATACACGCCGCGAGATCGTATCTTGTTACTTATAACTACTCTTTAAAGTTTAAGCAATGTCCTAATCTCTCTATCAGCTTCGGGGTTGCAGAATTCCTCACCAAAATATCGCCAGGCTGTGTTTGAATAGCCGTCGCAACCCGGGTTAGCGCCGTTGTATTTGACACAAGATATATGATTGGTAAATAGGCTATTGGCTGGAAACTAATCGAAACAATCCAGTTCGGATTTGCAGAATTCTTCATAAAAGTATTTCCTCGAGTAGTATTTTGACGACGACATGGGGAGTTGGCTATTGTTTCCTTAATTTTTTATATTGGCTGAAGACTATTCAAAACAATCCGGTTCTTGTTTGCAGAATTTTTCGAATCGAAACCGCAGTTTCTGTTTTGGGGGATCCCCTAACCTTCGATCGATAAGTCTTCTATCGATAAGATATTCTAGTTTGTACTTTGGGGTTGTATGTAACTTAACTGCATGTGTAACTTAACCAAGTATACAAAGAGTAATAATTAGACTTTAACATCTTTTTGTTAAAACTTGTATATTACCAATAAGTAACTTTTTTAGGTCGCAGCATCAGAGGTTTCTGCCTTCCGCCATGGTCTACTAGAGGTGAGAGAAGAGCTGTTGAAAAAATTGCAACAGAGGCACTTGGAAACTTGGATGGCCCTCTCCAGGTTTGGTTCTCCTAACTATGTAGTAACTAAGTAGCTCACAATTTTTGTATTTTGTATATTATGGATATTATATTATATCACCATTAATTTAATTAAGAGAGAAATGTCCAAATATATGGACATGTTGGTCAAATGACTAATACTGTGTTCCCCCGAAACTAAAACTTAGACTGAATTTTAAAAATGATTTTAATATAAGCCCTCCCCTCTAAATAAAACCTACCCGTGAGCGCGAAATTTTTTTTGACCTAGTAAGAAATCTCTCCTACACGTTTTGAATGACTAATAATGTATGTTTAGCAGTTATTTAAACTAAAAACGTGTTATTTATCAGTAAATGGATTTTGGTTTGAATATTTTGTATATTTGAAAATCTCACAATTCTTTACTTTGTAATTTTGAAAGGGAAAATAAAAGATATCCCTCAAAATAAGCCCTAGTGTTATATTTCGAAAAATAATTTTAATAAGACCCTGTCTTATTTTCTGAGAAACATTGTATGGCTACTGCAATGTCAGCAAAATACCAGCCAAATGTTGAAGAATTGCTTTAAATGTCATAATTATGAAGAAGCACCCGTGAATTATAAAAACCAGGAAACTCGGGGTGAAATATCGGGCCCTTGTAGTACTCAACGAAAATTTGAAAAAAAAATTGATATTGAAATCAATATTGACTTCCCATGAAAACATAAATGAATTTAAATTCAATTATCTCTTTTTTTTCAGGGTCAATATTATCCTCTCACTGGAATGACTGATGAAACTCAAGAAAAATTGATTGCAGATCATCTCTTGTTCGACAAACCTGTCTCACCTCTACTTTTGGCTTCAAATATGGCAAGAGATTGGCCAGATTCGAGAGGAATATGGTAAACATTAATGTTTTTGAGCTGCAACATCATGTATGATGTCTATACCCCAGCCCTTGTTGCATTTTTTTGATATTTTATAACAACCTTATTCATTTTTACACTGTCTGGTTGTTCACTGTTCAGTTTTTACTTGAGGATAAATGACATATAGAATTTCAATTCACTATTGTCCTCTATTCACTGCAGAACATATTTTACATCTCTTAAACTACAATCACAAAATGAATTAAATGACTATCAGGTTACAATGTGTAACTAGGACACTTGTATTATTGTTGTTACCATTGTGGAATATTATATATGGAACAATTTTTGTCTTTATTGCGTTTGAAATGTATACTTCATACTAAATATAATATACCTGCTTCTCTGCATCAGATTGTTTGAATAAGTACCTGGTTTTCTATTTTGATAATATTTAAAACAATGGTATCTCCCCCTTTCACGATACATTTTCCCCAGTGCCTATTTTGAATTTAATTATTTCTTTCTCAATAGTCGTTATGCATAAAAACTTCCTTATTTGTTCAATCTCTAATTAATTCTTAGCCCCGAAAGTGACAAAATATTTTCCTGGGGAGAAATTTCTCTTCGGTCAGTACACACTGGTCTAAAATATTTAAGTAAAATTGGTTTTCCAATGGCATTGTAATGTAAATTGAATATTTTCTCAGGCACAATGATGCCAAGAACTTCTTGGTGTGGATTAATGAAGAAGACCACATGAGAATTATATCTATGCAACCAGGTGGAAATATGAGAGAAGTTTTTACAAGGTTCTGTGATGGACTGAAGAAGGTAAAATAGGAGAAAATTACTATTTTACAGTGTGTCAAAGTTTCTATAGGTCTCTGTATAAAAAAAACTATGCATATATATAAAAATCCTGCAGTTTGGATGATAAAGACTTTTTTGGCTTAGTATTTGTTATGGCAACTGGGCGGTGACGATGAAATGACCACTGGATTGGCCAAAGCCCATGCGCAAGTTATTCAAGTTTGGATCATTATTCTAAAGTTAATGAGTGCAATTACGTCTCACTGGCTGGATGCGGTCCATTAAACCTATCTATGTTACCAGTAACAGTCTGGTCCCATTATTTATGAAATTAATTTTTTTATAGAAATGGCTTCTAGCAAACTTGTATGTAGTAATATTATAAGTCTTCCCTTAATTTTGATCATTCTTACTTACTCTAGGTTGAAGACTCAATCAAGAGCAAATCTCATGCTTTCATGTGGAACGAACATCATGGATTTATTCTGACATGTCCATCTAATCTAGGAACTGGACTGAGAGGAGGTTTATTTACTCTAATGAAATAGTCAACTTAGAAGTAGCATTTTGAATCAATTTCAATAAATACCGGGAAATTATCCAAGTGTGTGATCCAAAAATAACTTTCAAATAATATGTTAGTAATTGGTCAATACATCAAAGCAAATAAAACATGTCAGTTTTTAAAAATTAAAATGTATTGTATTCTTGAATAATATTACCTTTACAACTACAGCAATATAGTCATTATAATTATGGTAATAAAAATCTTTTCTTTTAGAATCTTGGAATGTTTTTTTATATAATACAATTTCAATATCTTCCAGGAGTTCACTTGAAAATACCGCATGTGAGCACTCACAAGAGCTTCGAACTGATATTAAATAGATTGAAATTACAAAAGAGGGGAACTGGTGGTGTGGACACTGCTTCTGAAGGAGGAGTTTTTGATATTTCAAACTCTGACAGGTACATACAGTAACTTATGAAAATTTTGTTGTGCTGTCTTGTAGCAAACTGTCGTTTCACATTTCTTGTACTGCTTGATGTTGGCTAAGTTGGTATCGAAGGTTAACGATATCTGGTCAAACCCTCAGGAACGCCATCTCACCCAAAGTGCATCAAAAGATTCCAGTAGCAGCTTCTTGTGTACGATTGGCTGGTTCTCTAAAGCCTTGTACAGATTAGAGATGCAAAAATACCTCTTAAAATGACTTGTTTTGTGAAACCCATAACCCATTTTGTAAAATTTAGACTCGGATCATCGGAAGTAGATCAAGTTCAATGTGTGGTGGATGGAGTCGAGCTTTTGATCAAAATGGAAAAGAAGTTGGAGGCTGGTGAAGATATAACTGACCTTATCCCTCAACCTCCTCTTCCTGTTGCAAAAACTCAGGTATTGTTGCCATTGTGCTTTTTGGTTACTCAGCTAGTACAGATTTGCTATTAACCTGTTAAATAGAACAGTATGTGAATGCCTACAAAACACTGTTCATTCCAGTTAAACTGAATTGCATATAATATGCAAAGATAATATATATTATTGTAGGTACTGGTGTTCCTGGTAGATGTAGAAATTTATTGAAGAAGTTTAACCTCTTTTGGGAAAGTTTTATCGTAATGTTAAATAGGTAATCCTGTAGTATGGTAGCGAGTACACTCAACAATCATTCATGGATCTAAGCATAGTTTTTAATTGCTAACTTCCTGAACTTCCTAAACCATGAAAAATGCCTAATAATATATAACTGCAGTTTAATGTAAATCTTGATTTTGCTGCATATAGGTTTAATTCTATAATTTTTTGAGATTTGATTCACATTTTTTTGATCACTCATACAATTTGTGTATTTGAAAATGGATTCAGAATTTTACGCCAAATAATATTACCTCAAATGCAACATGAGCCAGTTCACCAAAACAAACTTTTTCATAGAACATCCACAGCAAAAACCAGCTACTAAAAGGTATTCACCAATATAGTTATTTTTATCAATAAAACTTCTAGCAAAATAAAGTAAAATATACTAGAATTTTCATATACATCTTTTTGTTTTTTTTATTCTAGCTGAAACTTACAAGTGATGCTTTCCCTGATTTGTCAAAGCATAACAACTGGATGGCTAAATGCTTGACCAAAGAAATTTATGAAAAACTCAAGGACAAGAAAACACCTAAAGGTATTAAATTTCCTTTGTTTTGTATCGTACCCAACATCTTTATGCCAAGTTATATAGTAAGCTTATAATTATAGTAATTGTATTTTTTTAATAAATTATGGGTAAAACATGTGAACAGGGTTGGCCAAATTGAACAATATAGGCTACTAATATTCCAAATACTTTAAAGGTGAACATGAAATATTGAATATATTCTAATTTTCTTCATGTTTAACAAGGGACACATAGAGGTCAATGAATGTGTTAAAATTTGGATATGCAAGGATTTTTATTTTTTGCAGTTACAGTCTTAGATATCAATTACCTACTCAAATTAGTAGTTTTTTCTATGTGAAACAATTGTAAATAATTCCTAAAATGCAATCCATAACATCATTTGAATTTTTTGGCCTCACTGCCTGTGAGACTGAGTGATTGGTGAGTGATTGAATTGAATGATGAATGAGTGATTGGTGAAAAATGAATATTCACATTTCTTTGTTTTCAAATCAGGTTGCACTCTGGATAGTTGCATTCAGACTGGAGTCGACAATCCTGGACATCCATTCATTTACACTGTTGGACTGACTGCCGGTGATGAGGAATCCTATGAAGTTTTTAAAGATCTCTTTGAGCCTATCATCTGCAGTGAGTTTTATAATAGCTGTTGTCATTGTCTACACTGCTGAAGCTGATTTCTGATCTACCAATACCTAAGCAGTTAAATAGCCTGGTTGTTAGTTGGGACAATTACTTACTCATAGTAACATGAACTATCAGCTCAACTGTCTTGCACTCAACCATTTTCATAATGATTCAAAACTGCAAACTAGGCAGGGGTAGTCAGCAATGAGACAGCTGGTGAGATTCATCTTTGCATGCAGATTTGAATCCAGTTGTAAATTGTGTGCAAATCACATTAATTTTGGCCACACAGAATGATTTGGTTAATTGCTGGTCTGCCACAAAACGTTGTTTCAGTATTGCTGATCTGTAAATCCAACACCAAGCCGTAAAAAAATTTGGGTGGGCTTTGCCAGGGATTTATAAATTAATTTTCCTTTTTTCAAAAGCTGAAAAAAATCAATCAGTCATGAATTACGAGAAAATGATAATCACACAGTTTGACTGGGTAAGGTAGGAGGGGGGTTCACCGAGCCTACTCTTATTTGAGCTGAGGCTTTAGTAATGGAACCAAAGGAGTTATCAAGCGGCGGCACCCCAAGAATATAACATTTAGATGCCTCAGGTGTTTTTTCAGTGCCTATTTATGAACCGCAAAGTTCAAATTCCTACTGATTATGCCTGTTTTGTGTAGATCGTCACAATGGTTACCCATCTGATGGCATTCACACCACTGATTTGGATGCAAGTAAGTTGCAAGGTGGCATGTTTGATGAAAACTTTGTTCTCTCATCTCGAGTAAGAACTGGCAGAAGTATCAGAGGACTTGCTCTTCCTCCATGGTGCACAAGACAAGAACGACGGGAAGTTGAAAAATGTGTATCGACTGCATTGGCAAGGTATGAGTAAAATGAAATGGAATCAAATTTGGTCTGTTATGCATAGTTCACTGTGAGTTTAACATCATCTTAACAAATGGAGACATTGTCTAATGCTACTGTATACGGTAGCTGAATTGAAATTTAAGGCGTATGCAGATGTTTCAACTGAATGAGAGCCTGCGATTCTGTTTTCCTTATGATTGGTTTTGGTTGACTATCCCACTTTCTACCTGACCTCTTTACTGAATTATACAAACATAGTAAAATATTATGTTCAAAGTAATGGGATAGGATCTACTGGTAATTTCTGTTAGGCCTTGGTTTATTTGTTGTATTTGAAATATTCAGATTGGATGGTGAATTCAAAGGAAAATATTATCCATTAGTTGGAATGACTGAAGCTCAACAACAACAGTTGATTGATGATCATTATTTGTTTGATAAACCGGTTTCTCCACTCCTCACTGCTTCTGGTAAGGTTTGCAACCTGTTTGTCATGAATTCATACATTGGTTGATCAATATAAAACCTGGTGATATAAGATTTTAGAATATAAGAGTATCTGTTTAGTATGACAGGTATTTGAATTTATTTATCGTCCTATTGGTTTTTATCTCAGTTTAGATAACATGAAGTCCTCTCTTATCAGAAGTACTTTCGTTTATGTCCAAAACAACTTATTGATAAGATACACATAATGCAACACTTTGTTACACCTTTCCTCAGATTAACATGGGCTCCCCTCCTTGATAAAAGTCACTATCAGGGTTAATGAGATGCTATTTGAAATAGGAACACCAGTTGGCCATTCTTTTATTTTCAGGTATGGCTCGTGATTGGCCAGATGCCCGTGGAATTTGGCACAATAACAAAAAGAATTTCCTTGTATGGATCAATGAAGAAGATCACACCAGATTAATTTCAATGGAAAAAGGTGGAAATATGAAATCTGTTTTTGAGCGGTAAGATGAATTTTCTAATAATATATTACTCAAGGATACAACAGAAATATATTAGATCAATATTCTCTCAATTTTATGAAGCATAAAACTGTGTTGTTTGCATCTGTATCTATTCCCTATCATCTGTCTAATTTGAATATGTGCTTTTGTGGTTAGATCTTCATATAAGTCTTTAAGAATAGTGATGACAACGATTATATGCAAGGGTGAATTTCATAATATTATTATAATTGAAAAGGTATTTGGCATGTCATGACTATTTCATACCTCTTCCCATATGTTAGAGGCTGCTGTCCCTATATTTACACCATTAGTTCTAATGTATTGGCTGAACGGCAATAACAAGGATTTTTCAATTGTCAAGTGTTAACCATCCTGTGTCTTGTAGTTAATCCTTATTCGGTATGTTCCAGGTTCTGCACTGGAATTAAGAGAATTGAAAATGAACTGAAGAAACAGAATCGAGAGTATATGTGGAATGAACATCTTGGATACGTACTGACTTGTCCATCTAATCTCGGGACTGGACTGAGGGGTGGCGTCCATGTCAAACTTCCACTTCTGTGCAAAGATGAAAGGTATTATTCATTATAAATAATATTATACAGTTCTGTTCAACAAATTGCTCAATGTGTCTGAATCTTCATTGCAATTGTTGAATGTTGAAACTAGTGAGAGGTCACGGATCCTTGTATTTTCACCATCATCAATAGTGGAATTCCCACCCTATACCATGAAGTCATAATTCACGAGGACATTCATCATGATTTTGTAATATGAGACAGAATTGTGAATGACAATATTATTTATTATAGGTATGCATCGCTTTGGTGAACAAGTAAAAAATTCTGTCGTTTAGTTTTATGCATCCCTGTCTGAAATTTTGTAAGAAGAACAAACAATATACCACATATGAAAATGTTTTTATTATTTTTCAGATTTGACAGTATCTTGGAATGCCTCAGACTGCAAAAACGTGGAACTGGAGGAGTTGATACTGCTTCCTCTGATGGTACATTCGACATCTCCAATTTGGACAGGTATTTCTTGAAATATTGATAACTTCTGTAGCTCAAATGTTTGTATTAGATAACGCATAACTATTTCATTATTAACATATAGGCTCGGATCTTCTGAATTACAACAAGTTCAATGTGTTGTGGATGGAGTCGATTTGTTGGTTCAGATGGAGAAAAAGTTGATGAATAATGAACCAATTGATGAACTGGTTCCAGTAAAAAAAGCTTAAATCAAGAAACGATAATAAATGTTGAATTGATATCTTTTTTATAAATAGTTTTTATGAAATGATGAAGCTAGTTAATATAGATTGTTGCTTGTCATCTTCTCATTCAGAAATTGAAAATTTGAAAAAATGTTTCAGTGTGAATAATGTGCTACATATATTCTTAAGCATACATTATTATCTGGACTGGAAGTTTTAGTTTGAACTTTGTTTGGAAATATATTTTCAACAGTACTTTTCTTAATATGTTTCGGACACTCTAAAAAATGACATGGTGTAGATAAGTGTACCACGCATTGAAATTTGAAACATCAAATACGAATAGTAATTTTTTGTGATAAACCATTTTATGTGTGGTCATCGAGCATTCTGTCTGGTCGAATATGTGTGTCATTGTAGCCCATTTTTTATCAATAATTTTCAATTTCTGAATGATTTAGCTTTGAAATCGTGTAGATGCTTTTTTCATTTTTTATTCAGATTTTCTTTTGCACTTCTTCACGGCCAAACCTTTAGTCTTTATACCATGAATGTGATGTAGACTTTTTGATATAATGTTCCCTTAGATTTTTTATACTGACTGGCCAAAGGATTTATGATGTTGCCAGAGCTTATTTTGAAATTTTCGTGTTGAGTAGTTCAGTGAGTATTTAAGATATTTCTTTCAAGATCAATGTGTGATTAGCCAAACCAGTGTTTTATTTTTATTTTTCACAATCGCTCGTAGTTCCAACTTGTTTTCAAATTAAATTGAAATCCACCAAAATTAAGATCCCTAAATGATTGTTTATGGGGATTTGGTGAAGGTAAAAAGTCATAAGATACCGGAGGTTGTCAATACAGCGAGTATATAAGAAGTAAAAATACCGCAAGACTGTGTATGTGAAGATTACGAATTTTAATCGGTGGTGCACTATTTTGCAAGTTTAGACCCATTATAACGTCATCTGATTTAGCAAGGGTAATCTAGCTTTGCGTATCTCGGCGATGAAACTCTAACTGTATTTGCCCAAAAGTGTCATCATACTACATATCAACGTAAATGCCAGTTCAGAGGGGTTCTTGAATAGAAGTTGAGTTTTTACATATTTTGATATACTAGCAACTACCGTAGCTGATTAACACTCATCAGTATTGTGGAATCTGCTGACCCAAACCCGGTATGTTTGTCGTGCCCTCTTCATCATCAAGACTCTTCATCATCGAGGAGAAGTATAAGTATATTTTGAAAGTTTACTGAACTGTCTTGCCATTTACTAAACCAGCGTTGAATTTAAAACGAAAAGTAGAAGCGTAAAACTTAATAAGCACAGTTAACAAGTGTGCGCCTGTCTTGGCATCATTATTACCGCCCAATCTATTACAAAAAACATTGAATCTTTTTTTTTTAATTAGTCTATTTGTTTTGGTCTTAAAATATGCGTATTTTTCTGGTTTGGTGAATCATCAAATTTTTCTCTTTCCGTGTCACCGGATCCTATTAAACACAGCAGGATCTCTGAGCACCACCGTAATTTATGCAAATGACGTCTCTCACTACCAATTTTTGCAAGATCAAACCGATGTTAAATGCGGTACTACTAGCAGAAACAAGGTGCCCCGAACTCATCGCAAATTTTTTTTCTGCTTCACACGGTTTCCGTCTGTCTTGCGCTCTTTCGCGCTGTTTTGCGCTGTTTCCCTACTGTTTTGCGCTCTTTGCGGTGTTTCTGTATTCAGTAAGTAGTAAGACCGCTAGGCTATAAGTGCTATTGAATGTGTCTCTCTTTAAACATCAACTTTTCGAAATGCCAAAGTGTATACACTACCAGCAAAAATTTAGAAAAGATTGGCTTAAGGAATGGTTTGCCCATTCAGATGATAAGAACAAGGTCTTTTGTAAGTTCTGCAGGTGGGAATTGAATTCTAGGTGATGATGTTAGCTTCTTCGACATCTAATATTACTGTATTGTGGTTACTTTTCATTAAATTCAATGACTTCATATCTAGATGTTTTATTTTTCAATCTGGATGTTTCTCGAGGTCAATCTAGATGTTTTTAGTCAGGCAAAAGTGGCAGCCCTGCTTCATCCAGTTATGCTCCACAGTACCTACGGTGACGACTGTTGAAGATTAGTTTGCAACTAATATCCACATTTCTTTGTATAGACTTACTAGTATATAAAAACTATATAAACGCTCCCCTCGGGCACTACGCATGCTGCAGAGTAGAGTGGTGCGTTATGATTTCCAGCTCGGAGGAAGAAGACGATGTAGAACCTAATGACATAAGAGAAAAACTTCTTTGGGCAGCTGAAAAGGGAAACTTGGAACTGCTACAGGATATTATTTTGCAAGAACCTACGGTGATTTCTCACAGGTATAGTACCCTACTACTTGTGATAGATTTGATTTTAATAAAACCAGCTGCTAAACTGCTGTAAGATCTAAAGACTGTCAGTGATTTCAATGTCTGAATGATCTGTTTTTACAAATGGAATCTAGTTTCAGCCCTAACTGCCTAAAGAGGTCTTAACTGGGTAATTTAATGATATCATTTACACTGTTAGATCAATGACATTTGTCATTGGTTAGATGATGGTCTTTTACCTGGTGTATTTTCTTTCTACAGTGCTAGGGTGAAAATGGTGTATTTATCCAATTTGCTCAATCAATAACCATGTATGATGTTAGTTAACAGTATGCAATAGACAAAAAGTTTGTTTCAACTATCAACACATTGCAATACAGCAAAAGGCAAAGAGTTATCTTTAACTATTGTCACATAAGACTGCAAGATTAGTATACATGTTAATTAATTGAATAGCACAAACATTGTTTTCAGTTCTGCAAAACTTGAATTAACCAAACAGAATTTTAATCTTATTCCAGTTGTAGTTCTTTACTTATGTTCATATCTCTATGTAGTTGTTTAAATCTAGAGATTAATAATATTAGGTATTTATATATTGTCGTTATATGACATGTGGTTGGATTATGTAATCTGTAAAATGGCATTATTGTAGGGATGGAGATGGATACACGGCATTGCACAGAGCATCATATGAAGGACGCACAGAAGTGGTAAAGTTTCTTCTGAAGCAAGGGGCAGATCTTCATGCAAAAACTAGTGATGGTTGGACTCCTTTACATTCAGCATGCAGAGTTGGTAACTGTAAAACTTTGTGATGCTTATAACTCTAGGAAAAAATGCCAGTTACTTGCAAGTGCTTCTGAGAATAACTGTTGTTCTAGCTGTCTCAGATGACCATAGCAACATATCTTAGCTACAGTCATTTCGGGGTTGAAGATGTAGTTTATGGGGCTGAGAAAATTGACATTGGTGTTTTCCTCAGATAAATATAAATTACCATTTTCAATTCTAATAATAGAACACTTCTTCATTCTGGTCGCAAATTTGTCAAACATTCCAATTCAATCACTACAGTCAAAGCTTACTGCCAGCATTCAATATATAACGCTACTCCATCTCATTAAATTGTGTTTCTATGTTAAAATTGTAGACTTTTCACAAACCTGCCTCACCATTTTGAAGGTCAATAATCAGATATTATCATTACAGTGGAATGAGGTTGGAGTTTGCGGCATTTTACTTCATAATGGTGCGGATGTCAATTCACAATCACATGGATTACAAACCCCTCTGCATCTTGCAGCAAGTGAGCAAATATTTTAAAATCACTACAAGCTCTGGTGGTGAAAATGCTCCTCCTCAAATTTCAGTCAATGTTGTTTACTTTCAGGTTGCAAAAATTCTAAAAGCATATTGATGCTCTTGCTGTCACAGAAAGATGTGAAACCAGATTTGAAGAATTCCATTGGAGAAACGGCTTTTGAAATTGCAAGGAGAACGGACAAGTATAGCAACCTATTTGATGCTGTCGCAACATGTGTTACAGAATACTGTTGAATAATCACTATCACTTGGCTGCTGGAAGTCCTTCCTCCCACTGATGATCTAAGGTGCTTTGCACCCCATATGTGCAATCAATGTTAGTTTGGCCGCGAATAAATTTATTAATATCAATAAAATCAACTGTTTTAAAAATGAATAATACAGAGGCCTTGAAGGCATATATGGTGAAAAATGCTACATGATGGAAGAAAGTTTTAAGTAAAGCTTGGCAAGATGAGTAAATCAAGTATGCAACAACAACAATCTTAATTAAGTCAGTGCTCACAAAAGAAGCTGAGAGGTCACAATGCCTCGACTTATTCAGCTGTTGTAATAATAATAGAAGTGAAAATCAAATAGTGGACCAGCAAAACAGTGTTACACTAACTATCATAGTTTGAAAATGCCATAAAATGTTATCTACAAGTGCAAAAATGAAAAAAATGTGTTAAAAATAATGCACATCGCTTCATAGAGGTACGAGTCTGATGAAAAATAACTTGTATACCAGGGGATTCTCTTTTTCATAATTTACAAGATTTCCAGATAACTCGACCCAGTATGACACAGAGTTTCATAATTTGTGTGTGTCCCACATTTCACATCACACTGTGGTTTCAGGACCTGTGGCAGACAGCATTGCTTTGTAATCATCAACATCAATCAGTTTGGCATCTTGTTCTGTTCGAAGGTCATCTCTAAGCTCCAATATGACTTTCAACTCATCATTCAATGCTGAACAAAATTTGAAATCTCGTTATAGTTTTGTGTTAATGCTAACTAACATAGTCATGGGACTTAAAATACTGCAAATTATTTATTTGTACTTTTAGCAAGCCTACAAATAGTAAACACCGGAAAATAGGCTGAGTTAGATTTAAAGCTTATTCTCTACCACTTATGCAAAACTATTGACCTTTCTAAAACATACCTTCTTTCTCAGCATGCATATTATTTAATATGACTTGGAGTTGGCCATCCGTCATATTGTGGCAATCGTCACGAGATAAAGATCTTGTCTTCACTTTTAATCTTGTTGCATCATCAAGTGGAACATTAAGCTGTAATAAGAAATTAATCAATCAATAGGAAAAAGGAGAAAAATGCTGGCATGTCTGAGATTTTTCAAGACCAAATTTTGCATACCAGTCTATCAGTGGATGCATTGCTTCCCTTTCTATTCCTCCGCCTTTCTTCTGCTGCCAGTCTTCTGGCTTCTTGGTGGGCTTGAGTGATTGCTATCCTTGCTTGCAATTCAAGTTGTTCCTGCTTAGTTTTGGGTTTTGGAATGTCATCTGTAATAAATATACCTTCATTCAAACATTCTTAAGTCCACAAAGCTATAGACTAGGCGTAATAATCTGACCCATTTTGAATGAGATTATTAGTTTTAATAATAGACATGTTGCAAATCCGGGCAACTTTAAGAATTCTTGACATATAAACCAGAGCAATTTTTTACCCATGTATAATATCTTATTGGAAATTTACTTGCATTACATGACATCCCATTAATAGGATCTCCTGAAGCATGCACACCAAGTTGGCGCACAACCTGAACTCAGGTTGTGTACCAGGTTAGGGTTCAGGTTATGTGACATCTTGGTTCGCATACTTCAGGAGTACCCATTAATTTAATACATAAAATCTTTACAGTTATTGGTGTTGAAGAAAGATTAGTTGATGATCAAAAACATTTTAGATTCCCTTTTTTCAATTGATTTAGGACAGCAGATTTTGGTAGAAAGACAGCTATGCCAGTATTTGTATGCTGATAATAGATTGGCTATTGCTCTCGTCCAGTAATATTTTTGCAATTGTTATATTTTAAGTGACAGTACCCGCCCATATAATGCAATTAAATCATTATACCTGTGTTTATGCTTGGTCTAATATTGATAATTTCTCCATCACCAGGTAGAGATGAGGATGAATTGTGATGTCCGGCAGATGATGTAGATGAGAGAGAGACAGTGGAGGATGAGGAAGACATACGATAAGAGGGAAGATTCCTTCTTGTGCCAAAACCGGGTGATGATAGGACAGGGGAAGAAGTAGAGGATTTTCCCATTGATGATGGTGAGGTCTTAGAATCAGTACCAGCTTCCTCACTGTCGGAGGATGAGCATGAGTTATTTATGTAGCAGATTTGTAGATTTTGGTTGTTTCCAGAATAGGATCTTTCCAACCTAAAAAAATCAGACATAGTTTTTGCTTGTTAAGAATATACAGAAGTAACAATAGTATATCTGAAACTGTAATTTTCAGGGTTCAGCGATAGATTGAATTAGATTCAAGACGTCCAGAATGCTTCAAATACCTGGATAGATGTGAGATGAGTTTATATTTAATATGGCACACTTCTGGATATTACAATTGAATTTTTTTCATTTTGAGCAATTCACATTCGACACATCAAATTAAAACTCATTTATTTTCATGTGAATGAAAAAACAGAAAACCAGTTATAGCAATGTTTATTTAAAATATTTTCCACTTTGCAAAATATAATGTCTATAAATATACAAAATCTATTATTAAACAAAATAAATTATAGTATTAAATTCATCTGTTAGACCCCATATGATCGTTGTACTATGCATAACAAATTGATAAATCCGATTTTATGTTTGCTACTAGAAAGTCCGATTGCAGGGTAATTTGTTTTCAAAAGAAAAATTACCTTGGTTGATACCATGGTTTATCAGATCCAAATGGAACACTATCAATGTCTGGATCACCTTTTGATAACTTCTGCAGCATCGCTTCTCTGTCATTCTTTTGTTTCTGAAATAATGCATAATACATAAAGAACAAATAAAAAAATCAATAAGATAAAACACACAAAACTTTGGTTCAAGATAAACAACGATCATATACCAATCAATATTGAATGATTTCAAACCCACGCATTTGCATTTTAATTCAAAAATAAATGTATTTCGCAGAATTTAATCTACCTATATATTCATAACGACAGTGGCTCATTAGTCACTCGGTAATCTGAACATGTTTGACCTTTGAAGATTGCAAAAATATCAATCTTACTACCACCATCGCAATTGGGCGGTGAACGACGTTGCGATATCCGAAAATCAATGCCTTGCCACAAACCTTTTTAATTGATTGAAATGTCTCGGGCGTGGTAGATAAGGGTCCGATGGCTTCGGTTTTGCACTTTTTACAAAGAGAACATGTTCTGAAGCGGTCAAATCGTGGGCAATCATTGTGTGACTTATCTGTAATATCGTAGTCAAAACTTGCATTCTCAGGCAACCTACGATGATTGCCGTTTACGTCGAAGTATTCACATTCTGATTTTACTGGTTCGCCAGTTTTGTTGTGCCTGACATGCGCGCAACAATACCGCCTACGACGCTTTTTCTTCTGCTCGGCGATCATTCGTTTGGGATCATGTAAATGACGTAACAATTCACGCAAGGTTAAAGCTGAAGACAAAAGTTCATCTGCCTTCATGTAACTCCATATATTGGCATCTTCTATGACTATTGACGCCATATTGAACGTTTTGTCTTCGAATACTGACATTTCTTCCATGTTAATGCTACCTTGTATAAAATACTAAAAATTAATCTAATCGTAAACTGCAACGAGATTATATATTAAAATTTTTAATATCTAACTCCTACATTATCATAAATGCAACAAATAAGAGGTTTAATTATATTTTACGCCTACATCCTGTACGCAAAACTATAGCTCTAGTCATCACAACAATACTCCTATCCTATAGCCTTGCGTTATCCATAACCTGAAAACGCAAAATAAGACTTCAAAACAATAATCACAAACAAACTAACTAAATCTACCCGACTTAAATCGCATCCTAAAACTAGGTCGCGTTTGGCGATCTCACCAAGGCGCGATACAGTCATCAGCCTTTCTTCACACAAATGCGTCGGAGCTTTGATACCAAAGCTATGCTATTAAGGCCGATCTTATCCCGTGGGAATTCAGAGAGTCAGATAAATTTGATTATCACAGCCTTGTCTTTGGTACGGTCATTTCTTATGACGACATTCCGTCATTCGACCAAATATGTTTTATTGATCCGTCTGACTGCCGGCTTTTTTTAAATAAGGTAAAAATAAACCAACATATTGCAAACAAAAAGTAATTTGCAGTAACTTGAGTTTCTGTTAAAACGAATCTTGATCTTTGGCATTTTCAAATTGTATTTCAACCAACGAGACCGGCCTTAATGAAGCTAAGAAATTTACCTCATGCCAAGGGTGGCATACACGTACGAACTGCCAAATTCGGACTAATACATTGCACTGTGCGTATATGCTCAAGTTTGAATTACGCTCAAATATATTATACTTTTATATATTGCGTTAACAGCTGATTTATAAAAATAATTTGCGTGACCGAAACTCTTTATTGCCCTTACTTGCAGCATTATACAAGGCGTTATTAGGTCGCGTCACATATTCTCGGCGGGAAGCCAAACACTATATTGCCAAAATTCAGATCTCAAACTAATCGATCTATTCAACTGACGCAAAACAATCCGTCCAATAAGGTCAGCAGTTTCACTGTCTATAAATTAGGTGTCATTGTGTAATCAAAGACATATTTCACTTAGCTGGAATAGGGATATCACCATCGCGTACTCTTTGCTTGCATACTGTAAAAACTTCGCACAAGTATCACTTGCCTTTGCTCGTTAATCGTTATAATTATGGTGATTACGTCATAACCTTACTATCAACCATTGATGAAATTAGTATTGCGTTCATAGACTACCACAATCTAACGATAACTGTACATCATCTTAAAATTATTTTGTGCTGTAACTGTAGCTACGTGTACGCAGTTTGTGGACATACGCAAACTATGGCTTTAATAGTTTATACAGAGTAGTCTTGATCAAAGTTCACTCGGTCTTTCATAGCAAACAAATTGCCCAATCCCATCTACTCAGGCGTAATAGTACAGAGAAAACAAACTGGCGCCGTAATAAAAAGTGACCTAGTTTTCTGCCTTGGCGTCCTAACGGAAAACCTAACACACTTTTGAATTATTCATTAACTTTTTTTAGCTAGATTGCCAAGCTAAAACTATGACTTGCTTCACTGGAGTAGTGAAGTTCAAGAATGAAAAACGCACAATCGATAACCAAATTGAGCGTGTTCATTTGGCATAACTAAAGTGTACCCAGTGAAGTAAAATCTACCCAGGAACCGCAATTATGATCGAGCGATGAATACTCCCTTCTTCGTTAATTTCTTGGAACTATTCTTACTAAGCGCGGACAAAAAATGCGTCCAAGATATTGCTAATGGCACGAACTCGCCTACCTTCGTTTATATTCCTCCATCTTGAAACTTACCTTTGTAACTGAGAAGTAATGCATTTTTAAACTTCTATTGACTACTGCTTATGCATCTGACTGGACCCGACATAAAACTTTTAGCTCGATCCCACATATGATGCATTATTTCGCGTGGGTAAAATATACCCTTTTTCTGATTAACTATTTGTTTCATTAAATTCGCGAACGCCTGTTACATCTCGTTACCGCTAAAATAGCATTTAAATGTATAAATCTCGTGGTGACTCTGTATTTATTTTTATTACGAACTCAGTAATAAAATCGAATCGTTTTTCTGTTGGCTCCTCTTGAGGAAGATTTCTTCAAATCGATTACAGATCATATCGGGCCATATTTTCAAACCCACTGACATTTCCAAACATTCCCAGAATAAGTGAATTTTCCATTGAGAGATAGTGAGCGTAAACGCTTGGACGGGTTTTCACATTCCATACCGAAGTCAACTGATCGCTAACTTTTTGACTATCGCTAACGACTGTTGTTACAAACATGCTGAACTATTCGCTATACATGAGCGAAATCATTTGAAACATGCGTCAAACCGCATTTTGATTCTGATGGCATGAAAGATGTATTCCAGAGACCTAGGGTGCCGTCAGTAAAACTCACCAAGATGGGAACACTGACGCTTAAGGAAGACGATGAGAATGATGCAACTTAGCACAACAGATTACATCGATCGTGCAGGATTCAGAAACTAGAGCAAGAAACATTGATGAGGGTCTAACATATTTATTTAACCCACTATTTTATTTGTTTAGAGCTGTAGCTACCTGATCCAAACATCACATGCATTCATTTCCTATTAGTGTCCAAACCACCGTTCGTCCGTCAGACGTAGTCTCGTCAATAATAGATTATGCCTGGCCAAATACCCGCCATAAATATCTTTTTTTCAGGAAAGTCAATATGATATAATCGTCACCAAGTCAAGTATTTCGGACTTGATTCACCAAGTCAAGTATTCCAGACTTGATTGCCCAATATATTCAGTAATTGGCCAAAAACGCACTCAATATACCTTTTTCAGTTATAGTAATTGCATTAGTCGCCCTACATCGTATCCTTGTGCTGAAGTCTGTCTTATGTATAATATTCTACTTGTTATCACAATGACCAGTTTCTAGGAAGAAACCGTTGACCTCAGAAGAGTTATTAAAATGGAATTCACCCTAAAATTAATTATCTCAGAATTGTCAGATAGTAATGATTTATGAAAAACTTATTGATTTACTCGGAAATAAACCAATTCATGTTTAAAGTATTGATTCACTGCACAAAGATTGCATTTTTAATATTCAGGTTATGACTATTGTATAGTCTACTATTTAATTATAATTGTCCAGGCTGGTGAAATTTCCTTTTACTGCATTTAAAATTGAAAAGATGGCCAAAATATTAATAAAGCAATATTTCAAGTTTTTTCAGATATCAAAAACCTTAAATTAGTTGAGAGTATTGCTATTACCATCACGGAAAATACCAACTAGTCATTCCATTCATTGAATCCAAAAATAGCATCCAAGTTCCATAGGGATACAATTTGAATGAAATTTATTTCTAGTTATTGATCTAATGACTCTAGACATGACCCTTTATATCTTATACTCGTTTCTTTGATTTAGGCATATTTTTAAAGGGAAAATAGAAACCATATTAGTATCATCAATTGATTCATTTTATTTCAGCCAGTTTCTTCAAATGCTGATATTCATAAATTACATATTGGGAATTTCTATAGCAACCTTCCAAAAATGTTCTTAAAATACTCCACATTGGGAAAGCATGATGAATTTTCTTTTTGTATCAGCCAGTTTCTCCACATACTGATTAATTACATATGGGGAATTTCAATAGTGAATTTTCTGAATTGAACACTGAAAGCATGATGAATAGTCCACTTCCTTAATTGATGATATTTCCTTCCCTAATTGTGTTCGTAGGAATCACTCAATCATTATATGTCATAAATGAATAATAAACCAAAATTGAATAAATTAGACAACTTAGGTAATTTAGGAAAACACTTCCAGGCATGATGATGTTTTTAAAAACACAAGACTGAGAATAAAAATCATATATGGCAAGATTTGTTAATAGCCTAACAAAGGATGTAATGGACCATAAAATTGGCGCATTGTGGGTCTTTGGAATACTAGTTAATGATTTTTCTTAATCTGTTCTTCTCATAGAGGTTCATATGATATATCGTTGTAAAATGTTACAATGTGTTAAATGAATCTTCAAATACCTAACCCAACCAATGTATTTACATGGTATAGGAATCATGCGACTACCTAGCTAAGTAAATACCCTGGAATCATTGTGCAATGCCCAGCAACAAACAACACACTTTAGCTTTTATGGAAAATGGACTTTGTTCTATGATTCAATTTTTGAGGCAACTGACTCTGATGAACCCTAAAGGTCGTATCGTTGCCTCCCAGTCATGTACCAAAAACATCTTTTTATTTGATTTTTATATATGTATGTATATATTGTTTTCTTGGTTTGACGAAATTCTCTCTCAGTAATCACATTTCAGTATCAAAGAAAAATGTGGAATCCAAAGTTTGCTAATATGCTATTCCTATATCAGTAACATGCTATTATGTACAGTTCGAAGAGCAAAATGGCAGCTGTTTTTAGCACCTTTGTGCAAATGTGATGATAAAGTATTAAGGTATTTTAACCCTCAGTAATGACTGACAATGAAATAGATTAACTACAAAGCTATGTGACAAGTCAGCTCTTCAAGATCAATATGCATTTTTGCAAGCCATACAGAGAGCTACATTTTGTACTTCAATAATCAGACACCTCCCTGTTATATGTTATTAAATTTTTCATTCACACCGTGAAAATATTGTTTTTTAAATTACCAGTGGCTTGATTTTTATCCACTATTATTCTTTCGGAAGTAATATCATTGCATTTGCATGCATTTTTATTAAAATTACTCCCTACAACTAAAAATATAACATTTATAAAAATAATTACCTGCAAGTTACTCCTTGATCTTCTTTTTGGTGGAGGTGAGAATGTTCTATGTATTTCAGGGCTTTGATGCTTCAAATTTGTTTGTTCCTCATGATGTTTTGTCAAAACTTCCAATTGCTTTTCCAGTTCAGTCCAATGCATTGAAGGAATTATATCCTCATTATTTCTATGGTCTTCTTCAGAAGTGTTTTTGTACCAGCTATTCTCTTCATTATGCAATAGAGACATTTTATCGTTTGGATTATTGTCTTTCGAAAAGGAAATTAAATTAGTCCTTTGGTCACTCGAGGTGATTTCTGATGTCTTTTTTAAAGATGGTGATGGCAAAATTTGTTCAGGTTGTAAATCTGAGTCGTCCCACACAGGCTGTTGTGATGGCGACAAATCGCCAAATGATACCAACGGATCATCTTCATGAAAGTCTGAGACAGAATGCAGACTGTTCGAGTAACTGTAATCCTGTGTGGGAGACAGTGGGTATTGTATGTCTGATAGAGTATATTCTCTTGGGATATTAGATATTAATTTCGACTCTGATGGTTGTTGTTTGTCAGTGTTCCCATATTTATCATATTCAGATGCAAGTTCTTGAAACACCCTCCTGGAATAGAGAAAATATTAAGATATCATAAATGCTATCATTGATATTTTTTCAATCTTACATCAATACTTGTATGTAAAACTTCAATAATATAACATTAATCAAACATTATAGTGTTACAATGAAATAGATGTTCAAATTTTCATATGTGACCTTTAATCATAGAAATCATAAGTTGGGTTCACCCCACCACCTTATTCAGGGCTAAATGAACTGGGTCGACAATGCCAACCTACAATTATTCCGAGCGTTTTAAAAATACTGCTCCTTATGTATTAGTAGCTACTTCCATGTTCTTGTCAAATACAATTTACAGAATCTTCTGGTGAGAGTGCACTGATTACATCCATACAAAAGTCACAGCATATATTACCTTCTATATTCCATATATTCCTCACTGTGGAAATCTTCTGGATTAGCATTTGCTGTGTCAAAATGTTCATATGTTGGACTATGAAAATCCATCTTGTTGTATGTATGCTTGTGTCCCAAATTCTCAAGTTCCTAGAAATGGAAACACATGACATTATAATAAAATAAATTTTATCATAAGTTGATTTACATCATTTTTGTTTTAGATCAAACAAGCTGGTTGGAAATGATGAATACGATATAGATTCACCAAAAAGACATTAAAGCCGTGTTGTCAATCTCACAAAACTTTCATTCTATGTCAACTTCATGCCGCCATGAAAGCAGCGGAAATGAAATCTAATAGGACATGTGAAATGGCATCAGCATTATGAAAATCTTTTTCAAAGGTAGGTAATTTTTTAAGATGTTTTAACGTCTTGTTTTAATCAAAATCTATTTTACATACACTATTCCTTGGCCCCCATTACAAAACTGTACTGCCACATGATACGTGATACAGAAATCCGATATAAATTTTCTTTTGTGCAAAATTTACACAAATTTTACACCTTTATCATATATAGCTCTCATAATTTTAATACCCAAATAATAATTCTTTATTGCCTGTGGTTTCTTGGGAGTTGCGACTTTATTCTTCTAGGTCACCCCCACCCCTTGTACGAAATTTGGTCATATTTTACTCATTTTTCCAGAATGGAGTTAGAAAAATGGCTTTACTGCTTTAAAGTATCAATTTAACCCCCAAGTCTTCTAAGCAAATTTGGGTATTTTCATTTGGTTATGTATCTTTTTGGCTTCACAAGTTACGGGATTACTGCCTACTGGACACAAACAGACTAAGTTCACAGTTCTGCAGTTTAGAAGTCAGGGTATTACATGACTACTGTTTTAAGTTAGTAAATTAATAAATAAGTTTTTGGTTACAACAAAACGAAGACTGAAAGAGATAAATATGTAAATCCTATCCTATCCAATTCACTGACAGATACATAGATCTGTAGATATGAGGCAAAGCTCTTGATGACTGTTTTCAAACACCATTATACTAAATATAAACTCAAAGACCTGAACAAAACTATGAGTACGGAACTACATGGTACTAAGCTATACAATCAGACATATCAATCAGTCAATTGAATAACAACAAACAGACAAAGTAATGCGGTACTTGAGTACTCCATAAAATATACAGATATATGAATAAATGTTAACAGTCAGACAATGTAATACAGTTATCTGAAACAATCACAAGTACCATATGCAGACTGAATTAAAATATTCGTACTAACCTGATCCAATGCAGTAAAATAAAGCAGATACCGGCACGGTACTTAAAGAAAGATCCACCATTTACTGATATAAGTTCCCAACGGAGGTTAAAAACGCTTGGAAATGGACATAATAAAAACAGATAACAAAGGGCTGCGTGGATATTTACGCCGAAAGTCAGTTCGCACGTACGTAAAATGACGTCATACGCACCCCTGTACGCGACAAAATGTAAACAAGCTTCGATTTCCGAACAGAATCTGATTTCTAACGTGGAGTGAAGCGAACAAAAGGTTTCTCAGAAACTAGATAGACGAAGATTGAAATATCCCCCGATGGGACGAAAATATTTAATAAACACGAAGTGTACCTATGGATCGTTTTGTTGTTGTTTTTTTTTTTGTTGGGAAATATCGCTTCAAGCATACCGACTGGATCCGCTTTCAGAGAAGCTTTAATTTGTTTCGGTGATGTCCCACGAAAGACTAGGCCAGTGATTATTAACTGGAGATGAGTGGAAGGTCTTCTGTGCGTCACTTGCACTGACATGACAGGGCTGGCTGTGTAGTTTCGGAATTCAAGTACATTGTGAGTTGTGACACAGTGAATCATGAATGAAAATCTGAGATTGTAGGATCCAGGAATATTTCCTATATTTGATTCTACATTTTGTTGTGCTTTTTTACCCTAGTTGTTAGTAGAACATTCCAGGATAATCAATCAATTTTATTTTAGTCTCTCTGGCATAAAAACAACAACAAACTGACAAACAAAATGCAGAGATACATGAAGACGAGCATAGCTTAGGACAAAAATAAAAATAGTACAAGTACGCGGCCGTCCACCCGAAACTGTTAAAAGCACACAATAACGTGAATACACACGCTAAAATCGGGCAATAACTTTTAAATCGATATAATATATGAAAGTAGTTCGTTTCCTAAATCAGGACTTGTCGGTCGGCAGATCGCGCTAAGCATTAGGTGCAAGCATACCTCCGAAGATCATCTTAAAGTAAGCATGCCATTCGTAGCAGCCTATTTATGCGAGCATACGTTTTCTATGAACCATTTGACTAGGCTAATAACACATTTGAAGGCATAGAATTCTATTTTTTTTTAATTTCGAATTGTTTAAATGCTTGGATGCTTTTTGGAGTAGGCCTACATCCTACATCAGTGGTTTCCAACCTCGGGTCCGCGAGAAATTTCGTTGTTTTGTGTTTTTTAAGCCGTCTCAATCGCTTCACCGAAGATAAACGAGGTTGCATTGATTTATTACGCAATCTCTCTTCCGCCGTCATATTGCGACGTCTTTCGCGACATCTTGGCGCCGAGTAATCACACTTTTCGCTTTTACGGCTCCGTTTCATCGCGAATGCTCTCCATTAATCTCGCAAGATTCAGAAACCTAAAAATCGGCACACGTGCTTTTTCTGTTCTGCGTGCTTTTCCTGATTGATATGACCATCCATATTAAACGTTATGCATATTTCTTTGTTTAAACCAGAAAACAGTCAGGGACAGTATTATATAATATTCAAGTAAGATTGAACTTGTTGCGACCCTGCAGGTGATGACGAGACGCTGTTTTGTCTAGAAGCATATTGATTGCGCGACATTGCATTATAATACGCAAATAAATGTTATTCTTTTCTATTCCGGCAATTTCAATTTTTTGCCAGTCCGCGAGTACATTTAATTTAATTTTACCGGTCCGCCAGGGTAGAAAGGTTGGTAACCACTGCCCTATATGACCGTAATATTAGCGATCGTTCGAATTTCGTTTCACGTTTTTTTTGCCACGACGTTTACTGCGCGTTTGTGAAGATGAAATTCCGATTAATATAACGGACACTTACTTAGCTGCTGTAACTTTAAAAACACCATCATGACGAGCTTTGTCATGTCAAATTTCAGATTCATAAAAGAATAATTTTTATGTTGCAAAACTGTAAATGTTTTGTTGATATAGAACTTTACGGATTCATATTTAAATGATAAAGGAAGAATTGTTGATTACAGTCAAAATGGATGTTGAAGAAAAATACGTCGAGTTTTATTGCCCATTAAGATTTATTTCGACTGACACAGCGGCGAAAGTCGACGTGGACAAAAGATTATCCCAATCAAAAAACAAAGTCAAATCACAAATTCGACAATTCTGCGCTAATAAATGGGATCAACATTTTATACACAGTGACCAAGCGTTTCATTACAAGACAATTTTCCCCTCAATTGATGAAGACAGCATCAAGAATTCCACTTGGTCACCACGAATAATGGACAAAATTTTATTACGACTTCAGACGGGACATTGCCGTTTAAATGGGCACCTCCATAAAATAGGATGCCATAATAATGGACTTTGCGATTTCTGTAATGATCCAGAGACAGTAGAACATTTTCTAATGAACTGTCGAGCATATAGAAATGAAAGACGCATACTAAAGATGAAATGCCGCGATTATGGCATTGAATTTGAACTCAAAGCTATCTTACGCGACCCTAGCATTTTCCCTGCTCTTGTTGATTTTGTGAAATCTACCAAGAGAGTACTATAGGCATATACAAAATTTTGATTTAAATTGTCTGGCGCAAAAGACTCAAATTGTTTAAAGCACCATATATTACCATACCACACACACACACACACACACTTATGTGTTTAATTTGTACACATATATATATTCGACAAGTATAAACCCGATTACCATGCCATCCAATTCGATTAAAATTTTCCCAAGGGTATATATGAAATAGCATCCTCAATCTTGGACCTTGATCTTTAAATACGGTGTCTGAAACTCCGTCCCCAAAATGTTCAGAGCTTTTACACCCCCAAACTTCGGGCATTTGGGATATAAACAGGGAAAAGGCAAAATGACATTTTAGTATAGTTTGGAGCAGATTTGAATGAGAGCAATGAAGAAAATTTTTCCACTATTCTGTTACATGCTTGTACGTATATATTTCAGACGTCATTTACGAAGTAAAACTCCACCATAATATTTGTGATATTCAATTCCGAAATTCACGCCTCTCGCGGGTATAGATGTTCGGTATTTGATTAGTACTATTGGTACAATTGCTCGCTTACAACTTTGTAAAGTATATACGTAAGTTATTATATCTAAAAAAGTCTACTTGCATATATACTAGAAGTGTCCGTCCTAATTTTTTTTTCTAGTTTTTCGCAAAATTAGAGAATACTGGTTACACCATTCCAGACAATAATTTTTCAACAACAAAATGTCTAATCTGTGACTATTTATCGCTTGTTTTTGGTGCGTAGAATGTTGGAGGCTAAGAATTTCCAAAATTACTTCATTTGATTGCGCAAGATTGAGTCATTAGTCGATTAGACGGGGAAGAAATCAGGAATGACTAAATTGCTAACTTTTTTTAAATTAATATTGAAGTTGCTGCCGTGACGAAGAATAAAATAGCGAACGTTCAACCAGATAAGAGACGTAACGAATCGAAATTACGTGCAATGAAGACACCAAAGTATACGACGTTTTTTTTCGCAACCGATGACACGAGTTCACAATTGATGAATTTTACTATTAAAAAAGCAAGTGGCGATAAAAAGGAAGGAATTTCGTAATTTCTAAACATAAAAATAAGTGAATATGTTTACTCTACAATTCGACCGATGTGCCATACCTACCTTGCCTCACACTCTACGGCGGCCGCCATTCAAATGGCGATTGGCAACCTTATTCTTAATTTTTTTTTTCCACAATAAAATAACAAATTGGTTACCTCGTGAGGAATATCATTCTTTATAATTTTTTCTAAAAATCCTTGATGCAGCCAAGTTTTCGAGTGTCCTTTAATCATCTTTGCTTTGTAGGATGTTCCGTGTCTGCTACTTGTTGCAACTGTATTTCCCCCGAATCACATGTGTGTATTACCTCACAATCGGTCAATTAATAACCTCTCGTGTAAGATTTGTTTACCATTCTAAGTAACGCAGGCAGAAATGTTGGTTAGATCAGCGATGTGCCGAGAATGCTACGCAGAGGAAATACGTTCTCATTCTATCCACGTACCACGTTAGGCACAGTATTCGAAATAATGAAGCCTACAGTCTTTCTTTCACAGGATGCTTGAAATCGGGTAATCGTTTCCTTTTCGTCGGAATCAGCACTTTAGTCGTAGCACATCAATGCGAACTCGGTCAGCGTTGAGTATTGTAGGCGGTCGGTATCATATGTCACGTCTTTTTTATTTGTGCAAAGCAGAACATGTCCGACATTGCAACAATATTACATATATCGCAATCCGCATTGTGACGCACAGTCCAACGTGACAAAAGCAAAGATATCAATCATTAGATATCTGAACATTGAGCGTATGTCATTTCATAATCAGATTTTAATCTGCTTCAATTGGTGTATTAGAAAGCATATAATTTTGAAAATACCCTAAATTAAAACATTTCTCAGATAGGAATGTTTTGTAATTTTTACGTTTAATATAAATATATATATATATATATATATATATGGAACAGGAAATGTTCAATTCATGTTGTCTCTACCATTAGTCTCGATTCGATAGTATGATAATATATGTCATGAAACTTTACCGAATGTCTGATATCCGCACGGAAAAGAAATCGTGCATTGAACACTTCTTGGCTCAGTGACAACGTTGCATTGTTGTAACTCAAGCAATGGTTTCAAAAATTGAGCCGTTCAGTCTATCAAAATCTGAAGGGGCCGTATACAAATCGATGTAATTTAGTACGTTTTAGCCAAAAGCCACCGCTTTCTCTTTGGACACGTGAGTGTACATAACGATCGTTTCAATATTATGTTGTTGTTCTTGTTAGTAGTATTCTTCTCTTTCGTCATAATGAAATCACTTTTCTCTTCTAATACTGGACCAGTTGCTTTAAAATTTTCAGTGGTTAAAGATTGATTTTTTGCCAGAATGCTATTACTTTTACTTATCTCAAAAATTTTTATGTACTTCAAGAGATGAAATTAGAAAAGTGTTCCCGTTTAATTAAATAAAAAAGCAATAATCTGATTAGAAATATCGGGTACAAAATATAATAATATAAAAATATTTCATTCATATATATCATTTCCCCATCGATTAGTGCAGGGCTTCCCAAACTAGGGGCCGCAAAGAGACCACAAATTATACACAAAGGATTGTATCTAATGTACTTTTTTAAACTCCTGACTTCGAAGACTTTTAGACTTCGAAACGCTATTATTAAAACTAGGGTAAAACAAAAATCTCACGATTCTTAGTGAATACATCATCATGTCGTGTTTTCCCGAAAATAAGACAGTGTCTTCAATTTTCTTTCGAAAATAACACTAGGGCTCTTTTTTGGGATGTCTTCCATTTTTCAAAATCAAAATTACGAAGTGGAGAATAACGAGATTTTTAAATATACAAAATTTATATTTACCTATATATGTAACAAGTTTGAAATAAAATGACTGGTAAACATGAATTTTTAACCATTTAAAACAAGTATGGAGTAGGAAAGATTTCTTGCTAGTCTTAATTCAGGGGAGGACTTATATTAAAATCATTTTCGAAATTCAGGCAAGGTCGCATTTTCAGGTTAGGTCTTATTACCGGGGAAACACGTTTGAATCATCGCGCTTGCATGACAATTCCTATTCTGATCGTAAGACCCGAGCAGCGACACCCTTTATTCGCGAATGGTTTATTATTTCTCATTATTGTAAATAATTTGTATGTGAATCAATAAATTCACTTTACCTCGTTATGTTGTTTAATTTCCGTTAGGTAGGGTCTATTGTTGCGTAACAGTAGAGGTAAACCTTACATGCTGCAATTTCGTTGACCAGCGTTTCCCAAACTTTTTCGGCTACGGAACACTTCCACTTTTTATCGCGCCTCGCGGAACACTAAAAAATAAAAGGGTAAAATTGTCAAATGCGCGGCGAAAACTAACAGAATTGTGTTAAAATACTTCAATATGATTGAATATTTTGCATGTTGCATTTATTATTAATGTTTTATTGTTTCCTAATTTAAATGGTGTGTATATGAATCAAAAAATTCATTTTACCATTTTATGTCGTTTACTCTCCATCACGTAGTGTTTGCCTCTAACGTTACGTCTAATGGAGATAGAAGTACTTGCTGCAATTTTGCTGCATTTATCTACTTAATAGAGTTTAGCGAAAATGAGTAATTTTTTCAGCATTTCAAAGTAAAACCAGGCAAAGATGGAGGAAGAAGAGCTGACCCTTTGCCTTTATTCTTTAGGTCTACTCGTTTGCCCATAGCAAAACCAAAATGATTGCTGTAAACTTGATAATGAACTTAACAGTCAAAAAGCTAGGCCGACAGTTATCGAAAATGCCACGATCCCTCTCCAGTTAGTACGATTTAAGCCGATGGTGACGCGATATTGAACGGTCAGCTGGGCGACAACTTCACGTTCCATGGATCAGGGCTTCCCAAACTTTTGAGCTCGCGTCGCGGCCCTTGTCCTCGTCAATAATGGTAAACAGTTCGAAATATGCGTTTTTGATGTTTTGTAAAATTGGTGTTATTTTTGCGGCCCTTAAAATTCGTTTAGCGGCCCCTAGTTTGGGAAGCCCTGCCATAGATCTCCATGGCGACTATTTAAGACGTTTTTTTGATTCCTTTTCCACGGAACACTTCGAAGATGCTCGCGGAACACAGTTTGGGAAACGCTGTGACGTAGACTGCAGTTTATTCATTTGATAAACCGAGTTTAGCAAAATCAGGCGGATATAAGGAAGAGGAATTGACCTTTTGCATTTATTATTTAGGCCCACATGTTTATAAACTTTAAAGGCATAAAGAAATAAAATTTTTCGTGTAGGTGCGCCGTGAGTTTTTCCCCTGATAATTTGGCGCCGCTGGCTTTTTCTAAATTTGATCATTAGGAGTGAGTAACAATGCCGGATAGGGATCATGCCTTCGGTGGCCAGACATCGCAATTCATTTTCATTGAGGCCTGCATTATCAAACATTGAGCCGCGGCTATGCAGCAAAAAGCATTCGCACCCATCGCAATGAATGATTGAGTAGAACGTTAATCTGAGTAAATGCGTGTTTTTTGTTATTGAAGAGGCCTATTAAAAGTTGAGAATTAGCTGTGTCAATAAAGGATCAAAAATGCATATTTCGAACTGTTTAGCATTATTAACATGAAGGGAGGTCGCGAAAAAATTTAATGTATGAAAAGGGGCCGCGAGCTTAAAAGTTCGGGAAGCCCTGGATTAGTGCATTATTAGTTGTGGGTAAAAGGGATGTTTTCTAGCAACAACAAGTATAACAATTTATAAAAACCGTCCACGTGTCCATTTTTCTATAAAAGCTCAAACTACCATAATATTTCATGCCTGAAAATAAAGAAGTGGCTACTTGCGCTACATCATTACTGTCTCCAAGGATATGAATTTTTCGCCGAAGAAAAAAACGGAAATCGGGCTGCAAACACTTCCATTGACAAAATAGTAGTTTTTTACGTACCAGTGATTGCTTATACAGAGTCTCCCCATTAGTCACGTTATTTCAGTAATCAGTAGTTATTTTTTAAACGTACGTAAAATACATAGTGTACATGTAGAATGAAGTGAAAATATGGCATTTCAGGGTAAGGAGATAAGCAATAAACCGGTGCTGGTTATCGAGCAGCGACACCTATGAAAAAGTGTAACAGTCAAAGTTTAAAACATATTATGGTAAAAAGGCCAAACATTACATTTACATACCAATGTATTAGTACACATACTAATACGTTCATGTTTAATTTTGAAAACCTGCGCGTGTTCTCCCATGCTGACCACACGTTGAACTATGCGTGCTCCAAGTGGTTATGGTTATGGTCTTTTGCGTGGGTACATTATGTATTCACAATGGATGCATTCGCTGTGTCACGCTTGCGTTGCTTGTTCATTTTGATAATAAATCTGGCAACGTATTTTAAGCACCCGGCATCAAAACAATAATATCATTCTGTCATTATGAATCAGCAATTTTGCGACTTTGCCGCATTGTGGTTTAGTTTTCAGCTGTTGATGTTTTCAGGTCTATAAAGCCAGTATAGGCCTAGTATTTCTCGTCGCACCTTTTTGTACATCTTCATTTGAGGCCGATTTATTTGTTTCTTCCAGTAAAACTATTTGAAAAGGATTAACATGGACAAAAAGTAAGTCATTGTCTGAGTAGTGGTGCATTGAATTTGTTTTCTCAAATACTGAAATATCTGAATATTGCAAACTCGACCTTCAATATTTCAGTAAGTTATAATCAAAAGCTAATTTCTTGAGTTAGGTAAAGTCCTTAAACGAAGTGTGTGCTATAAAAACATGAAACTTTTGTTGTGCTACTAGTAACGGTATAGCCTACTTATAGCTGTATAGACTTTTACATATATATATAGGTCTAATTGTGTTTTGCTTTACAGGGCAGATATTGCACTCATCGGGTTGGCTGTAATGGTAAGAAAGTTGAATGATATTTTTTTTATCTTGTCAGGCTATGTCATAATTATGGCTGTGGAATAGAGATGAAAATTTATAGTCGAATCCACAAAACATTTTGACTCTGAATTGATGGAAATTTAACTCCAACTCTGAACTCCCACGTAAATCAAATTATTATAATAAAAACTTCGGGTCTAGTATAGTTTAGGGGTCTAGTATAGTTTAGTACCACAAGTACTTCCAGTTGGCGTAGCATAACGAATTTTGCATAGGTTATTCCTGACCCCCACCTGACTATGCCATCCAAAAATTGCGTCACAACGACGTCATCATCACGTCATAGGGCTTGCCAAATTATAATTACGATCGTCCCAAATGGCATGTGCGCCGCCGATAACGAACCCGGCGATCTCTCTCCTATGCGATCGTTGTGACGAGAAAACGAGAGAAATAGCTTGCTCGATTTCGGGTGATCATCTGCGCGTTTTGGATGACCATCGCATTCTTTGGTGGGTCTTATTACGCCACTGTGACATCGAAAAGGCATAATTTTTCGGTGACGTAGTCAGGTGGGGGTTAGAATATGCACAAATTGTTGAGCCAGGCCAACTAGAAGTGCATGTGGAGGTGGTACTAAACTATACCAGACCCAAAACTTCTCACGTAAGAACCTCCTCTAATAAACTGCTAATCTTCATAGTCAACTGCATCTTTTAAAATTTCCCGTATAAAAGTTTGACTTCGATTATCCCTATTAATAGTCTGGAATTTTGACGCTGCCTTTTGACTTTACCTCTGGGGGGTTTGAGAATACATGCCCAAAATTCCCACCCAGACTTTATTTCCCTGGCCATAATGAATAGATTTCTATTTGAAATGTAGTCAGATCTGCTTGGTGTTTTATTCTTTTAACAATTTCACTCAAATTGTAATTAAAATATTGGTATTCTTGCAATGGTATATAAAATATTGTTTATCATCAGCATTTTATCAATAGATGGAAATGTAGCTGCTGTAGAAGTAGGCACAAATTGAAAATGATTTTTATCATGGCATCAAAAATATAATATAATTTTTTACAAATGATTGTTAGAGTGTCAGAACAGGAACTTTATGTGTATTAGATTTGGTAATTGATCTGCTTTGTCTGTAATATGCAGGCAAGTTTTGAATCTGAAGCAAAATATTTTTCGAGATTTGTAGATGGGAAAGAGGGTCATACTTTTGTAGTAATTTGAGATAACCGGAAATGTATAAAAATGGAAACAACACCTTTACCAACATGAAATTAGTAACTGTCCAATGATTAACCAACCGATTCAAAACATTATTTTTTCTTTAACAGGGCCAAAACCTGATTCTTAATATGAATGACCATGGATTTGTGGTAAGAATGCTGTGAATTTAGTGCAAAATATTTTTCTGCTCTTACTGTATTTAATCTTATCATTTTTTATTAGTTCAGTATGCCTATCTCAATTTAGAATTGATATAATACCACTGACAATATCTTTTGAATCTCTGGCTTGAAATTTGTATAGATATACAACTTTGGTGTTATTTTTTACTTCTGGGTATTATCAGCTGCTTCCATTATTTGTCATTTTAAAGCAGATATAGTAAGAATATAAGCTTCATGTATTTTTTTTACGTATATTACAAATATTACAGTATTTTTTATTGAACTTTTCTTCTTTTTTAGGTTTGTGCGTTTAATCGAACAGTTGAAAAGGTTGATCATTTTCTTGCAAATGAAGCTAAAGGTACTAAAATTATCGGCGCCAAAAGTTTAGAAGACATGGTGTCAAAATTGAAGAAACCTAGAAAAGTTATGATGTTGGTGAAGGCTGGAGCTGCAGTAGATGCATTTATAGATAAATTGGTAAAAACATCAAGTCATGGATTATTTTTCAAAAACATTAATCATTTTATCATATGAGTAAATACTGCATACAAATGCTATGTGATGGAATATGAAAACATAACAATAATGTTTATGAAATTCAAGAAATTGATAAAATGCTGCTAATTTATGTGAATATCATATTGGAAATTCAGTTGTTTTTAGTTGTCAATTTTTAGTCTCCTACTTCATTTACAACCTACAGATGGAACCTTTGGAACATATGTTACCTCTGTATAATAACCTGCCGAAGTCAGGTCCTGGTCCCTCAACTGCATGTTATTAAAAGACTTTTGACAGAAAAGTTGCAAATGACAAGCCAACAGTCAACACTGCTTCTATGGTGGAATATATTACCCAATGAGAATGTTTTTTAATATACATTCATAAGTATACATTTACAAAGGCATGATAATTTATCATGCACAAAAATTATTGTATTCATTATCACTTTTTAGGTCCCATTGCTAGAAGCAGGTGATATAATAATTGATGGTGGAAATTCCGAATACACAGACTCCATAAGAAGAGCCAAAAGTCTAGAGGCAAAGAATTTATTATTTGTAGGATCTGGTGTCTCTGGTGGAGAAGAAGGTGCTCGCTATGGACCATCACTGATGCCAGGCGGTTCACCAAAAGCTTGGTAAATAAAACTTTTCATCCACAATGAGAATTTGTTCCACGGTTACATGTAGGATGTTAAAAAAATTTTCCAAATACAATTTGTGATACTGTAGTCTTTTGTTTTAAAGGCTTCATATAATGAAATTTTCTGTGAATTTTATCATCTTTGCTTTGAAATGATAGAGAGCTAGAGAGATTAATTTCATTATCTGAATGTATTATCGAACACTTAGACTATTTCAATTCAAAGACCCTAGTCTCAGTAACAGAATTTTTTCAGATGTCTTTCAATATGGAGTGTGGTTATCATCCTCAGCTAGATAAAAATAATCTGAAAATAGTTTGGTTTTTACTTTCTTGGCATGTACATCTGAACACTCACTACAGTAATTCAATTACTCTGTAATTCAGTAAAGTCATAAATTTCTAAGAACTCTCAATGAGATTTGTGGTTTTGTAAGCATTGTATCTGACTCCCTTTTCAGATGTAGAACACCTATAAAACATTCAATTTATAAATACATATAAAGTTTAGATATTAGATACTGATTACTGATTGTTGTTGGTGGCATTGTTTTGGATGAATTGATATTTACAAACAAAAAACTTGATTTTGAAATTTAATTTCAGGCCTCACATCAAACCCATATTTCAAGGCATTGCTGCAAAGTCAGATGGTGAACCATGCTGTGATTGGGTAAGTTGTGGATACATAGTAAGACGAAATACAGCGTTGTACATAGATAATAAAACATCATATGCTCATTTGTTTCAGTATTGAGTTCATGCAGTAATTAAAAAAAGTATCTAAATAGTTGAACTTTTTCGAATATATGAAATCAATTGTGCAGAAAATAATTTTTCTTATCAATTAAAACAAGAATTATGCAAAACATTTCAGGGGTTCACTTGGTATTCATTAACATGACCCTTTGCCTTGAAAGTTGATCAAGAAAAATGCTCTGAATTCATTTAAAAACTATATGTGGATAGAATCAGAACCAAACATTTCTTTCATTTTAAGGTTGGTGAAGACGGAGCAGGTCATTATGTGAAAATGGTTCACAACGGTATTGAATATGGAGATATGCAGTTAATTTGTGAAGCTTGTCATATTATGAAAGATGTTGTTGGAATGAATAATGATGAAATATCTCAGGTAGGTGTACAGAGTCGATGGATTTTTGGCGTGTGATATCAAAAATGTTTACTTTAAACAGTTTATGGCAAATGTTACTGATGCTCCTGTTTCGTAATTTATAGTTGATTCTGTTTGAAATGTTTTATTATCGGTGAAACTGTTTCTATATTTTTCATGGCAATCATTTTTATATTATGTACCAATTTTTGTCTCTATTGTCAGGTTCTCACAGAATGGAATAAAGGAGAACTAGATTCTTTTTTGATTGAAATCACTGCAGATATCATGAAATTTCGTGATACTGATGGTCTTCATCTTGTTGATAAAATAAGAGATGCTGCAGGACAGAAAGGAACTGGAAAATGGACGGCTATATCTGCTTTAGATCAAGGAATGCCATTGACATTAATAGGTAAAAGAGTAGTCAATTTTTTTTATATATTTTTTCTTAAAACTAGTTTTGGAATGGGAGTTGTATAAAAATCAAAGTTTGCACTCCTTTTATCTGATTTTACACAGTTAAGTCTAATGGTTTAACCATCACACCAAATGGAGAACCTTGACACTTTCGTATTATTGGATCGAAAACTCCTTCTCTATCATTACTCTTTCCAATTTTAGTTTAGTCGTGTGGAATTTCCCTTCAAGGAATCTTATATAAAAACGTGAAGCGCATATTATGACATTAATTCTATGAATACCGAATACAACTCGAATTAAACATAATTCAAATAATAGATTTAGGAACATTGAAGTAAATAAATGAGAAATTATTCACATTTTTCAGGAGAATCAGTTTTTGCAAGGTGTCTATCATCATTAAAAGATGAGAGAGTTACCGCATCAAAACAATTGAAGGGACCAACCCAAGGAGTTGTCAAAATTGATGACAAAAAGAAATTTATCGAAGATTTGAGACAGGTATTCATTTGCTATCGATTTTGATGTCGAATGTTGATTTGGTATTTGTAACAATTGTATGGATCCCCGATATGGCGAAGCATGGCCTCTCAACCGATTACCAGTCAAGGTCGGGTATGGGATTAGTTAGCCAGTTATCTGTTTTCGGAAGCATGGATTTGATGGTGGAGGAAGCTGTAACCGACCAGTGGTTACTTGAACCACCCTACTGTGGCAAGGAGTCCAGCAATCCTCTGAAGTGTAAATCATGGTTGGAACCTGGATAAAGATGAAACCTCAACCCATACTGCGTCCTTAAAATGAAAATATTAAATTTACTGTATTACCTAAAATTTAATGAAAATTTGATTTGCGATACTGGTGTGTTTTGAATAAGTTTTTTAAGATGTACTGCCTATCCATGGTAGCTGATATTCTGCATAAATTATGGCTTCCACCCTTTTTTTGGATTACTTTAATAGAAAACAAACCGTAGGACCCCACTATAAAATTTTATTAATAGAATTATATTTCAATTTTACTTACACAGGCATTGTATGCATCAAAAATAATATCATATGCTCAAGGGTTTATGTTAATGAGAGGAGCAGCTAAAGCATACAACTGGGATTTGAATTACGGGGGCATTGCACTCATGTGGAGAGGTGGATGTATTATTAGAAGGTAACTCAATTTTTATCATACATTTGAAAAATTCGATAGACAAAGAAAAAGCTATGTTTCTGGTCTGACATAAAAATAAAGATGTGAACCAATATGGCGGACACCGGAACGTAGTATGTGTACCTGGTTAGAGTTGGGCCATAATTTTATTCCAATTTTTCTTTTTTAGCTCTATTTCGAGTTCGAGGACTGGCCAAGTGACCCCTAGTATTTGTATGGTACCTTAAATTATGGCCTAACTCTAACCTGGTACACATACTGCATTTCGGTGTCCGCCATCTTGGTTCTCGTACTACCGGAGCGCCGATAAGTATAAGATACATCTCGGAATGTAAAAGAAAAATTATTGACTGATTTTGATGCACCTTTCTTAGTTCAATTTGTATATTCCTTGAATATCTTAATAATGTAATCGCTTGTATAACAAGTTCACATTACATTTTCATGATGTGCAATAGATCCGTGATATTCATTACAAATTTTTTCATTCATAAAGTGAATTTTGTTATTCCAGTGCTTTTCTGGGTGAAATCAAAAAGGCTTTTGCTAAGAATCCAAAGCTTGAAAACTTACTTCTGGATGATTTTTTCAAAGTTGCAATTCATAAATGTCAGGTTTGTGTCAACATTTCATATATATATAATAATATCTCAACTTCAAAAATTCAAAATCCTCCCGGAGGTGGGAGCCCTTAACCCATGCTTGAGATATATTTTTATACTTATATATTTTTGTTCGAAGTGATATAAAGCTAACATGTATATATATATATATATATATATCTAAATCGCACTGCCTGTCACAGATTCGTGTACAGTTATTTGGGAAGGGAATTTTTAACTAAACAAAGTTTGTATTGTGAGAAAAGTGTGATTCAATATTAGCTGGAATTTGAATTAATTCCACTTCAACCATTGCTGCTATTGGATTAATCTGTTCTGTTGTATGTTTTATAATATTTGCAATTGTATCACTAGGATGGATGGAGAAGAGTGTTATCAGCTGCAGTGTTGCAGGGAATTCCAACACCTTGTCTCAGTTCCGCATTAGCATTTTATGATGGTTATCGATCAGAACGTGTTCCTGCTAATATTATTCAGGTGGGTGTTATCCAGTTTCATGCAACAGAATATATGTACACTTTTTAGGGTTAGGGTTGGGTTAGGTTCTCAATTTACACATCTTTGAATGAAGCTATATATATATAAAGCTTCTGTTTAAGTTATGGAATATATTTTTGGATTGACATATTTCCTTCAATTGCTGAAATACCAAAACAACAACTTATACTGTATTGAAGACATATGATAATGACTAATGAGTACTACAAATTCATAGTTGAGTGCGTTCTTTATTATATCATGTCAATGGCTGCATGCAAGTTGCTCATTTAATTATTTTGACCAAACCTGAATTAAACTAAACCTAGGTATAGGAAGATTATGAGGATTAAATTTCTTATCTCGTATGTATATCCAAATATTAGTATTATTGAAATTTAGAGTGGTATCTGCCAATTTTTTCATGCATAACAGTTTATTTTGTGATTTTCAGGCACAACGGGACTACTTCGGAGCTCATACGTACGAACTGTTATCAGAACCAGGAAAGCATGTTCACACGAACTGGACTGGACGTGGTGGACAAGTTTCATCCTCTTCATATAATGCATAATATGTAACTCTTTTACTACCTTTTAAATCAACAGTGTAGTTTTGATGTTTTGTAATTAAAATATCAAATTAGGTAACAGCTACAACAACTCAACTTTTTGAATTCATTATCTTCAATATAGTGCCAATTAGAACATTTGTGTATTTTTAAATACCCAAATAGTGTCTGTACTGTTACTTTACCTGCATTGAATCATTGCGATAATGTTTCGTTGAGGGCTTATTTGATTACCTATTGAATGAAATTACGATGTTATGAATTTTCTTAGTCTTTTGGTACTTTTAATAATGGTTATTATATCTGTTATAAATTTTAATAAAACTGGTACCTAGAAATATTTGAGATTAATATAAATATATATAACGTGTCTTACCATGTATTGCAGTATTTACTCCACAGATTTTTCTTTGTCTGATTTGCATGAATCTTGGTAGTGAAATCTGCTGAATGTGGTGCCCGATTTTCAAATTATAACATTTCGTATTCACATAGTTCTTCAATATTAATACTCTTTTGATTTAATGAATGAACTACGGATTTGATTGTGTACTATATGTACTATTTCTTTTTCCAGTTGTATCAAGTTCCGTTTATGCTATTTTTATATTAACCCTGGTATGAAGGATAAAGATTATGAATATATCTTATGTTTATGCTTATATGCCCTTACGGCACACCTTGTATGTTCTATATTATTTGCTACCACTTTTGCTCTTTTATATGCAGATAAAAATAATTACAATTCACATAATAATCATAATAGTAGTGTTATTAATAAATAATAGAAATACTGAATTTGTGTACTTATCTTTGCGGGTGTGAATGCTGATCATGACTTTATATCTCACAGGATGAGCGGGGAATGTGTTACGAGCCGTGGGAGTAGTATAAATGTTTTACTTCATGGTGATTCCACTTTATTTTTATTGAAATTCGCGATCTTACGGCTGACAAATTTGAAACAAACATCAACAGTCGATACATTGGATTTTGCGTGCGGCTTATAGCCCTCATTTGGCGGTTTTAATGTTTTCCCTACCAGTATTAACGGATTCCTAATTTGAAATCGTTTCTTGTAATTCAGTTTTTCACGAATATATTTGTATAAGACATTCGGAAAAGGCGAAACAATTTTTGGGACTCCGCAGCAAGAATAACGCATTTCCCATTATGTCAGGGCAGAAATTGTCGCTATTTTCTTATCTGCTTGCTTTGGGACGTGAACAATATCACATAAAATCTATTTCAAATTCGTCTGCCGCTGACCGCACGTACTATGGTTATGCAATAGAAAGGTTGCATTGGAATTATCGCAAAGGTTAATCCCTAACGCAGACTAACAGGATGGAATAAAAGGTCATGCGACTGCCGATGTGCGTTCATTCACGCCAGTGGCAATTTACTGCAGGCGTCTCGCGTTCGTTCACTGAGGGACAAAATGGACGTGTCAGAAGAAAAGGTCGAAGTATTGCCTGGCGATTTTGAAGCATTGCTTAAAAAAGCTATCGATGAATTAGGTATATCAGAAGAAACGTTTTCAAGTCTTTCTTCCATCAAAGCGATTAAAAATGAAGGAAAGAGTTGGAGGCAAAAGCATGGTGGGATATTGGTGGCTGGATTTGTGTTCCTTGCCCTAGTTCTGGCACCAACATTGCTTTACCAAAGTGCATCCAGTGGATCAAAATTCGCATCGCATATATTTAATGGGTGAGCTTTCTCTTTATATAATATAGAAGAATTATCAAATAGGGAATATCTGAATATTGTAATGTAATATAGTTATATAAACTGATATATGTACCATAATAATTTTGTAATTACAGAATTACCATCGCTATATAAGAGAAAATAACATAATAATCTATGAGTATAAGTTAATTTCGACTCCATGATCAGCATAACAGGCGCTAAAATGATTGATAAAAACAAAAAAAGACAACCCATTAAAAATGAAATCAGGGGGCAAACAAAACCTTAGATAAGATTGGAAACGTACAGAATATAAGATGGAAGGTTTTGCCAAGAATAAGTGGTAGTGTTCACTCACCTAAAATTATTAAATTAATTCACTCATGACCACAGGGATATTATAATTTATAAAGTAAGAAAATGCGATAAACTTTTGATATATTACATAATAATTGAAAAATAATAAATTAATGAAAATTACTTGCAACACCATATTTTTTTATAATGGTTGCCATTTCCAAATAGATCAATCTAATACAGTAATTAGACAAGTTTAGCCTGTTATCAGTGGTGTATTCTATAGCCCACTAGGCAAATTGGCAAAACTTTAAAAAACACAAGTGCACACTTTTCTTAGTCCTATTGCATAAATATGGAATGCAGATGAGAAGTTAGTTTTATTTTTTGGATTCCCTTAATTTATAGGAAGTATGTTTAAATTTGAGCTTTTCTATTCTCATATATTACTGATCCATTTCTTTCAGATATTTCTCAATTATGGGTAAAGAAATAAATGAAGAAATGTGTGTGCTTCCTCACACAGAGTGGTCTCAAGATCCTTTCAGACCTCCAGTTAACTGTACCGAATGCGCTAATGTATCTGGAATACATAAAGTCACTGGTTTGACACATGTAAGCAGTGGATGCTTTTGCATGACCACATTTTTTTGCTCGATGTTTATTCATCATACAAGAAATGGGTTTAGATATTGTTGTTTTAGTATTCTAATATGGCTAGATTATTCTTCAGGTTGTTATAAAACATTATTTTTTGATTTACTCGGTAGACTAGTAGGTAGTACTAATTTTCTCCTATTGTCATGAGTCTGTTGCCTACTTTTATTACCTACATGTTATGTTTTGTACATTTCACAGGCTGAGTTTCTAGAAAAGTATGCCTTCAGCATGCAGCCAGTATTGATAAAGGATGGCCAAGATGGCTGGACAGCAAGAAATCATTTCAGTTTTGAATTTTTCAGAGATGTTTACAAGGAAGGCTCAAAGGTTGGTTGGCACATAGCTTTGACGTGTCAACAATAATAGGAAATTGGTAATTTAGGGTCATCGCAGTATTAACGCTTGTCGAATCTATATAGAAATATCAATTTATTTACCTCCTATGCATATTAAAGATGTCTATCATAAGATTACAGTAAGAGCAACCAAAAGTTCTGTGAACTCAAGATTTTCTTTCCGAACTGAACCCCATACCTAGATCATGCCTAAATAGATCACATTCATGATATGAGTATATCTCAAAAAAGTTTAATTTTAACAGGCATTAGAAAAAGTCAAAAATGATTGCCAGTTTTTTCCATACCAAACTGAATTTGCAGATCTTGGTGAAATGTTAAATATGACCAGTGCAAGAGCTGAAGGAAAGGAAAAGCCATGGTATGTTGGATGGTAAGTAACAGCTTTTACCTTGATTTATTTTTAAGTTTCTAAGCAAGGAAATAGGGAAACTGACAGAAATGAATGAAAATTATTTGAACATTGACTGACCAATCCAAACAATACCAGAATAGCACATTGAAGTTTCATATTTCAGTTGGGATTCTAGTAACTCAGTAAATATTTTTTTACGAAGTTTGTTTAAATTATATCCAGGAGCAACTGTGATGGAAAAGCAGCCAATATTTTGAGGAAACATTACAAATTCCCATACTTCTTACCACCTGAACTTGATCATAGTAAAACAGACTGGATTTTCATGGGGTTGCCCGGCTATGGAGCAAACATACATGTAAGTTTTTTCCAACTTTTCAGACTCGTATACCTATTATTCAGGGATTATTTTGTATTATCGAAAATTTCACTTTTCAAATTGAATGAGTTTGAAATTACATCAATAAACCAAGGCATTTTACGGATAAATGAAAAAGGCATATTATCATTAATAATCTACATTTGAAATTATTTTTTCCATTCTTTGTTAAATAAAAAAATTTCTTATCAATAATATGGAAGGAAGTTGAGAACTGGTGTCCTTCGTCAAATCAGTTCAGTTAACCTCAACCTTTCTACAATGAGTAACGCAGATATTGCTAACAATTTATTAAGGCAAAATATCAGATTTGCTCCTGGTATTTCAAAATATTGTAAAGGATATTTAAAAGGAAAATGGAACTTATTTGTCATTTTAGTGAAATTCAGTTGTATAGTTAACAATTACACATAAAAATAACATAATAAATCCCCTTCAATTCCTTGATTGGCAAGTAAAAATAGGTTGTTGGTTGTGGCTTTCAGCTATCTAATATGTATTCACTCTTGTTATTAAAGATGATCACCCCAAATTTGATGGTATATTCTAGATTGTTAGGTATTGCCTATAATGATTATAAGAAAACTTCTGTAAATTCATCATAGTTATATAAATCGTTAATAAACGTCTAACCATAATTGCATATATCTATATATGTATGTATCCCACATGCTTTTGCAATAGCCTACACATGCAGTTTCCATCTTTCGCTCACAGGCATATGGAAATAGGTTTCTATAATGTCTTTCTATAATGATTTTACAATGTAGGCTATATGTAAGATGATACAACATTGACTCATTTCCTATTCCGATCCATTGTGAATGTGTGTTTTGAGAGATGCTGTTATGCTGGGATATACACAATGCGACAATATGCAAATATTTCAAATTCGTTGCGTGGCGTGGGATAAGAATTAGCACGTGCTATGAATAAAAGCAACATGCTTGCCATTTCTTCACAAAGATCATACCATATATCTACAATCTTCTGAATCTACTATATACTGATAGAGTGTAAAAATAATATAATTTTTAATATTGACAGTTAGCACCTCAACCAACTGTGAAATTTTCAGATTTTTATTATAAGGGAGCTATACTTTGGCCTCTTGCCATAGAATTCAATAGTATGGTTGAATAGTCGATTTTTTAATACAAAGTCCGAGATATTTGTAAAACACTTCTATCTCGTAAAGGAAAATTTATCTTTTGGAATGCTCCATACTTTAAATTTAACATTTTTAATATTGCTTTAAAAGCTGATACATTGGTTAGTTTAGATAGTCTTATGGTAATTGATGACAATTATAAGCAGTTATCATGAAGTACCTACAGTCCTACATCCCATAATATCATGCCTAGGGCAGTTGGTGCTATTGATCTTTTAATTTTATTTTGATATCAGATTTAAAATATAATTTGTTATTTCAACAGATTGACGCTGTTGGTACATTATCTTGGCAAGCTCAAGTGAAAGGAGTAAAGAAATGGATATTAGAAGCACCCCCTGAATGTGCTGGAATATGTGTATCGAGTATGGAAATCATTGTAGAACCTGGAGATATTAGTAAGTGTTTCAATATTTTTATTTAATTAAAATCTCATTGTTTGAATATATCAATATAGATGAAACTTGGATCAAGGATGGCCAGAGCCAAAAAAGTTATTACTTCAAGATAATACTTTTGAACACCGAGTGAGCTCGTTCAACAAAGATATACATAAATCGTTGTTTATTCATGAAAATATAATTTTAAAATACAAAAAAGTTAGTTCTGTCATCATATTCGAATGGAATTTATTTCCAGCAACACTTGCCATGCACATATTATGGCTCAAAACGACTTTTCGAAGTCACATGTAAAACAACAATTCAATATATCAAATTCAACTAATTTTTGAATGTATTCAACCTTACTTAACATATCAGTGCTTGCACAGTGCCTTGTTAAGAGCGAGAGGCACAAATGGGCATTCTAAAAAAATGGAACTTCCTTTCCTAATTAATTACTGCACCTCTATAAAAATATTCAAAGCTAACTGAGTTGTAGGCAATATGCTCATCATCCAACTCACGATATACGAGGACTCTTATTTTGTGCCATTGAGATTGGAAGGTGGTTTTTGTCACTAAGGTATTCAAATGCATTACAGTTATTAATTTTGAGTAACAGAATCAACATAGAAACACAATATAGCATAAATGTTACTGAAATATAGATTCAAAAATCATATTTGAGACTATTATATTCTGAAGTACTCTATGATATACTAGTTTTTTCTTTAAGCATCCTTTTTTTCATGTCAGTCTCATATGTGAATAGAATGAATTGTTTTATTCATTATGTTATCATTATATTTTCAGTTGTTCTGGATACAAATAAATGGTTCCATGGAACTCTTATATTGGGGAATGAAACCAGTATTGTTATTGGATCAGAATACTACTAATCTGGTGAATGGAGATTTTGAAGATACCTTTCTGCTGTTATATCACTGATACTATTTATCGTTGATTTGTTTTTTAAATATTTCAATCATGTAGTCTACAATGAGGCTGTGGTTTCTGAGAAATATCCCTTTCGACTCCGACGATTGAACAGACTGACTTTAAATTTTGTCTTCCAATATATAATATATACAGTGTGACCCAAAAAAACAGTATATATATATATACCCGGTATTACTAATTATCCAAGACTTAATCTTGGAAATAGAGTAAATGAATTTTTTTGAAATAAGTCAACTTTCAACTGCCTTGACTCCAATTCAAGCAAAAAATTCACAACTCACAGATTCCAACCCCATTCACATTGCATCACATATAGATACACATACGATTAAATATTGTGTATTTTCAATTTTTTATTCCTTGTAATATCATTAATACTATTAACTAGATCATTACCAATATATACCTTATGATAATTCAGTCAAGGTAAACTGACAACCATTGTTCTAGTTCTCTAAATTTACCAGACATCCAATTTTTATTTTGTATATTCTTATACATCAATTGCAGTCATTTTTAACTTATCACTTTGCTGACAAGAGATTATTTTATTTTGTTGAAGAGTTTTATGGTGTCACATGTTTTTATTTTTAAACTTTCACAATATGTATATAAAAGTATGTTAGTAGTGGTTTAAAGAATTTTTACAACAGATGACAATTAAAATTGGACCCATCAATATTTCTCAATATATATATTTAAGCATATCATTTCAAATAGCATCATTTGAATTGGTCATGTCACCAAGCACGATCCTAATGTATTAGGTGTTAAAATACATATTGACATACATACATTATTTTCTCCAATCATGTCTAATGTTTTTGTTTGTATGACATAAAAATCATTTATTCTGACTTATAACCTGATATGCAATTTATTTAAATGTGAACACAATTTGTTGCTACTTATTTGCACTCTATTTGTAAAGATGTTGATATAATCGAGTTCTTATGTCACTGTCTCTTGTCCACTATTCATACATGTTTTTCTTGTTGTTTTGTCTCTGTTATGTTGATCTTGCCATTTCTATTGACGAACTGTTCATTCATTGAGGTATACGGTAATTACCATTATTAACACTGTATGGAACCTGGTAAAAAATTATGCTGAAATATGTTGTTCTTTGAGTGACCATGTACTTCTAAAGTAAGTTGATAACCCTTCTTCGATATGGAAATATGTATGCACCATTGCTAGTCGACAATATGACCTGAAAGACCATTGTTTTATTTTTTTTGGAACAAAGTTTCTTTTTGAAAAAAAATTTATTGCTGTTTTGTCCTTTTTATGCAGTTACTTTTATCCAGAATATTTTACACAGAGTTGTTAAATCAGTTGGGGACACTCGTGCAATCAACCCTGTACATATTTTTAATATTGTGTTCATTTCACTTTGGTGATCAGTTTTTTCTTGGTGAAATAAAACCAGAGTAATTGTTAGAAGCTATTTATCATACAGGTGGAAATCAGATCGTTCTACAACGGTAGCCGCAAAGCACTAAAGGTGTTTGGTGATTTTGTTCTACTTTTACAAAGCTTCCACACACTTTTCTTTCAATTTTCTTATGGTTTGCCGGTGCCCAAATCATCATCTTGAAATATTTTCACGGCACCTAAATTCTCATCTTAGGAATGGTTTACAAAAAGATGCACAACGAAATACCTGTCACAATAACTGGCTTGCCAAGTGTCTTTGGCGAGGCATTAAGTTTCCCGTCGCTGAATTGAGTGTTTAGAAAGTATGTGGTCGCCAGCGGAATGACTCCACTTTTCAGGTTGCGATCCGTCGCATGTTTAGTCGTTTTGTGAATTTTCCAAAACACGGGCACATAAATTTCCATACGCTACCTACCGTTAAGTATGGCAATTACTCGTTACGAATGTTACGGTATGTCATTATCATAATTACTGATTGTGATTCGCATTTCAACGAGAATCGAAGAAGTAAATAAACACTTATAACCTCAACGTGTACCGGTATTATTTTACTCAAGAAACGGCATACAAAGAATTTTATTCACACATTCCTGGCATTTGGGGTGATTCGTGACATTGGGCTTTAATTTGGAAATTTGTTCCCATTGGCCATTCGATCCACATGTAATAGGTACCACCACATATTTTTCCTACTCACATACGGCCATTGGTTAATTAAGTAAAGTACGATACTCTACCAACAGTTGTGGCTGAACAGCTGTTTGGTCATGCGTCTGGAAATGTTTTGTCTGCCCAATGAATGTCATTGGTCTGCCTTATGAATGGTGAATATTTACGTCACACAAAAACGGCTTTCGTTTGCGCCTTTCATTTAGGTTATGAAAAAGTAAACTTGGTGTATTTTGGGTGTGCTTTTCTAAAATCAACTTTTGATTGAAATATCGCCTGGTTTCTTAGATCGGTCGGCTGCCCATAGTTTATTTATTCGTTTTGGGGATTACAAGGCAATATGAAAAACTATGTTTTAGGTTCGGGTTAGATGATTTTCTGCTATCCCACTTTGTCGGAACTTTGTGTTTCCATGGTAAAAAAATGGTAAATTTTGATAAATATTACTGATAATGTATAATAACAGACCCTAAGCGGATGAAAAACCCGTCGGTTAACCGCAAGTGGGCGATGCATCTGAATGCACCAGGCCACGGAATACCATGAAAGACTTCTTTGCTCATATAATTAAATGTTTTTTTCGACTACAAAAAAACAATTTGATCTCCGTATTTCAACGAAACGTTTGACACTGTTTATACCTCATCATTGCCAAAGGTTTTTGACAAAGGGCTTGATTTGATTATCCAAATTCAAGCACCGCGTTCATCAACGCGTTTAAGAGAATGCCTGATAATCTTATTAAGCAAAATTTACCATTCGCGCTTATGTACAAATTTGCATGTACTTTATATTTGTAAAGTATGTACACTATCTTTAATCTGATGAGGTAGTTCCCGCTATCATCATACCAAACATGACTATACGATGTATACATAGGCGTAGCCAGGGGCCATGGCCCCCCCTCAAAAATGTTCGAGAATTCCATTCTTAATCCACCAGTTTTGTGGCAATCTTGTCTCGTCACGCTTGCTGATTGTCATTGTTACGGCACAAAGACTTGACCGTTCGCTGTTATGAGCAGTTTGGGAAAGACTGTGTTTCGTAATCGTTAGCTTTCGGTCAGTTACTCGGTCTTGATTTGTTCTCGCCGGTTTTATATTCGAAACGCTTGGATTTTGATGACCAAATTACTTCGATGGTTAAATTTAAACAGGCGAAATGCGATAGTTTTTTTTCAGCGAAATAAAGAGTCGCTTTCCTCAAAAACATCAACAAGCCCTACTCAGGCTGTGGATGCACCGATTACGTCAGTTACGTCTATCACTTATATTCCCGAAGATAAACTAATATTCAAAGAAGGGAAAACCAACGATCTTTGATTTATTCTTAAGAAACATATGCAGCTTACCGATGCGGAGAGATACAGGCTTCTAACTTCGAATGGTCCGAAAAACGTGACGATTCTGGATACCGTTAGACAAAGTCGTCGTAAATTTCTCAAAAAATGGCTTGACGATGACAGATTTTGCAACTCTCTGATGGGGGTGGATTTTGTATTGACGAAAAGCCAGCCGAGTTGTTGAATCATTTTGCTTATTGATAAACTGTTGTTGTTTCGCGCTTGAAGAAGGGGTGTCTTAAACCCAATATAATTTCTAAAATTTTCCAATCCCCCCCCCCCCCACCCCCAAAAAAAAATTTGGGCTGGCTACGCCACTGGATGTATGGAAGAATGTATGAAAACGTTCTCAATAATTTGTTGTCAATATTTCAGAAAGATGGATCAGGTTAGGTCTTATTTTTGGGAATCATGGTAGTTAGCCAGTTATTTGTTTTCGGAAGCATTTACTCGATGATAGAGGAAGCGGTGTTACGTGTGCCGCCATACGGCGGCGATGAGTCCTGCAATCCCCTTGCACATAACCATCCCCGCATGGGAATCGAACATGTGAACCCACGCAGGGTAATCAGGGGTGCGATGACAAGCATATTCCTAACGCTTAGCACTATGCGCCTCACCTCCGAACCATTACCACTATGTTGTTTGAATTTCTAGAAAGTTTTTCTCATTAATTTTTGAACGTGTACGATATATCGGACGAGTTGTTACTGTTCTAGTAATGTAGTTGTTGGATTGTTGTGCATTATAAATTATCGAAAATGTGACTGTCTGCTACGCCACTGTACTTCTGTAATATCGTTAATTTAAATTTTGTTTTCCAAACGGTATCGATAAGCGGGAAAAGAACAAACTGCAAAGTATAATCTAGTTCTCGTATACCCATAAAATTATTCTACGCCCCCTTTTGTTCATTCACTTCCGATAAGGAACAGCATCACTTCGTGACTTGGCGGGCCACCGGAAGAGTCACCACCCAGTGGTTCATGAAAAAGTGTTTGGCCACCGCTACACTAGAGTGTGGGCTTCCGGCCCGTTAAGCTGTCAAAAAATGCGCAAAAGGTGTTTGTTTCCAACACTGAATTTAGACAGACTGTTAAAAGTCATGGAAACATTACACAGGGGTACGTACATAAGCTACATTATGAGAGTCGAAAAATAGTTTCATGAATCTGAAATTTCCATCAAAATGCCCCGAATACAGTACACACGAAGTGATCCAATTTAATTCTTCAAGAATATTTTATTATTTCATCGCCAACAAATTGAAAATAAAGTCATTTTCTCTGTATTAATTCTTTCACGATGTTTGACGCTGATTGACCGCTGCCACCCATTGTGATGTCCCTGAAAACCACGAAAAGTTGCTGCAACTGTTTCTGTTTTATTATAATTCCTAAGAATCGTTCACTTATTTCTACCATTATGCATAATCAAAACAATCTTTGGTACAGCTCGGTTCATCGCAAAGTCGCCTGCAAGTTTCATCATAATCACAATCGTCGTCGTCGGCGCATTCTGAGGAAAATGAGTTTAAAAAAAGTGAAAAAAAATGTTCTTCAATTATATTCATGAATTGACTGAATTGCATCGAAGTGCTTCTATAAATACTTAGTTAGATAGTTCTGAATGACGTCGAGTTTGGAATCATAGCAATTGCTGAAAATAGAATTTTTCATCGAAATATCTCAAATTCATATATGCATACCGTCCACATATATACCAGCTGTTAACACAGACATCACTGCAGCCGAAAACAGAAGCAATAGAATTAATTTTCGCAACATATCTTTGAATTATGTAGCGCTTAGGTAGTTTCTATTAAGAAAGATACAGAACAATTGTGCCAGTTAGTATATGAAAAATAGTAAGTCTATGGATAAGTAATCAGAAAAGGGCGTCTTATCTTCCGGTAACGATTATGTTATTTGTACAGCTGATTACCGAGACAATTCTAAGCAAACTATATAGCAAGAGTCTTTGAATTTCAGATTTGAACATCGGAATTGCTCAGAGATGACATAAAACTCAACTGTTAGCGAATGTTTTCATCCCTCTATACATTGATATCATATATATTAAAGTTCCAGAATGCGCTTTAAACTAATAATTTCCGCTCAATATGCGCTCTCTCTCCTGCCCGGAAAACAAAATGATGCTTCTTGCTTCATATTTGGGGAATATATATTTTGTTGTGCATGTTCGCGTGAATAGTTACAAAAAGAAATACCTAGAGTCTAGCCAGCAGCACACATGAAAAAAAATCCCAATGTTGGCGAATGTTTTTCTTTACATGTGATGTAGGCCGCGAGCCGAGGCCCTGAAAAACGCCTAGAAAGTGAGTTTCGTAGCGCACATCAGGTAACTACCTAAAAATGATTTTAAAATGTTCCTTAAAAATTTAGTAACAAATATTGCCTTGTTCCCAATTCCGAAAGTTGCACGTTTTACGGAAAAGACGCTTTTACTACAAGAATATGTGCTACGATCTGTCCTATATTCTCTACATTTCCGGCAATGAACAATGACTTTTGCATGACGTAACAATTGAATCGAATCAGCTGTTAGCGAGCGGATGAATCTTAGTTATTACTGCTCGATCTTGCGTTGAGTTGGGCAGCCTTTCCATAGCCCCGTTTAGTTATTATTAGTTAAGTTATGCTAAGACGTTGTTAAAAAGTAAAAGTAACTTATTAAACACTTGTAGATCCTTACCACGGATATGGGCCGTGAGGCGAAGCCTTGAAAACGCCCAGAAAATGGGTTTCGTAGCGCACATCTGGTAACTAAATAAATTCTTCAGTTTTGTGTGAAAATGAACATACTGAACGCATTACAGCTTGTTCCCCAATCCTGATGCGAAATTGAATATAAGAGGTTCCCGGAAATTCAATAACCATAAGTTTACAACACATACATAAAAACTATGCAATTCGATAGCCCTACAGCACACTAACACAAATGTATTCCTGTAACGTTTTGCCTGACCAAAATC